AGCAGGCCACAGGGTTGCCATATCTAAACGTCAGTTCCCACTTGTCAGCATTTTGACAGATCTTTGGAATGCCTAATACCTAATCTTCTGCCATTCTGACAGTTTGTTGGATTGCCTAATTTAAACAGTCCGGGGTTAGTTGAAACGTTTTGCTAGAATTATCCACTGAACGATCACATTTGAGTGGGGCACCGTTATTACTTCTGCAACTTTGTAACTGCTTACAATTTCAGAATTGAAGTGTATTTAAAAATTTTTGCTTTACCTACATCTAAATGCAATCTCGGGACACTGTCATGTTCGTAATTTTCTTCTTACTTAATAATATTTCTTTTAATTTTAATTCTACTAGATCTGTAACATGTTTTGATATATTATTTTTATGTTTATGTTTGTTGAACTTTTGATATGTGATATAGGTGTTAATTTTTAATTTGTATTAACTCAAATAATTTTGCTTCTTGCGATATGAATTGTTTTGTCAAGCGAAAAGGCACTATTTTTTAATGTAGGTAATTAATTCTATTCAAATTCCATTGAAAGGTGAAAGATTTTAAAAATAATTAATATTTCACAAAAAAAAATAATTTTAGGAACCAAGATATATTGCGATACGTCAAGTGTCCCCTCCAACTCTTTTTCGAATCTCATGCAGTGTTGCCCACTGTGACCCACTGTAGACAGATTTGTTGCAATATTTTCCAAAACGTCTCTAGTATAATGTAGTTTATTAAATAATGAAATATTGAAATCCATCTTTATATCAAGATGAGATTAACTTTAAAGAAATCATACCAAGCATTTATATTAACCAACATAGTAGCCAAATTGTTATGGGATATTCTAATATAAGGATTGTTTGTGGTTTTACTTAACGAAATGCTCTATAACGCCCAACAGGCTTTCAAAATTGCATTAAAGAAATATATTTGCTATCTTAATGTCAGTTATTATCGGATTAATGTCTATTTGGTTGCAATTGTTGTAATTTAAGGTAATTTTCAGGAAAATAGGCAATTATTTGTAAAACACATGCTCGACCACACCATCTCTACTCAATTTAGTGGGCGTCTCGCTCTTTATAATGTGACGACCGAAACGACAGGTCTAATTTTCTAACAAAAAACACGAATTGAATACTTATTGCAAGTAAACAAATGCTTATTTATGAATGAAAGGATTAGTTTATAGTTATTCTTCGTTGGACCATACATACTCATATCGCAAGAAGCTTATATTTAATAAAAATCCTCGAATTTCATTTTATACTCATCAATTTAGCACAAATTATTGTTTTTTAAGTTTTAAAGCACCATATTGAAAAGGTAACGATTTAAATAGTGTTGCCATTAAGCAAATTTATTCATATGGTTTATACTAATCATAAATTTCTCAATAGACTGATAAAGACATTGGTAACTTAAAACTTTTCTCATAATAATTCTATGAAAGTCGCACCCTTCTAGTCTAATTTTTTGACATATTTGTGCTTCGTCAAAATATACACGGTACGATTACTTTTAATTTTATATAAACTATGTAAAATAAGTAGAAAATTTTTAATAATTGCATTCCAAACAAAATGGATGTCAGACACTGACAGTTTATGATATGACAACACTGGGCCTGGTGATTTGACAGGATCAATGATGTAGATAGTTATATAGATTGATCATTCATGTTTTTAAAAATAAACAAGCTTATGTCTTGAAGTAAAAATGAACGTAATAATTTTTTTAAATATATTCAAAGGCTGAAAATGTTTGCTACCCGCTTTGAGCAATCTATATAACTATGTATCATTGACCCTGTCAATGACAACAGGCCCACAGGGTTTCCATATCTAAACTGTCAGTTCTCTTTGGAAGGTCGTTGGAATGCCTAATTAGAATAAATTATTCAATTTCTGAACGATCTATGGTTAACAAGGCAACATTATTTTCTCTTTGCGCCATTTTCATTATGTATATTTAGCAAAATATACTCTATTAAAATGATAAGTGCTTGTTTGTATTTATTTCATTTATACCAAGTGTCGTACTAGCACCATATTTTTTAAATATTTGAACTCATTTCATTTTTTATTGTACCAAAGCATTGCTAAAATATAGCGTTTATCGAATGTGACTTTTATTATATACAGGGTGTTTCCTAACTACAAAACTTAAGCTAGTGATTCCTCAGGTTATTTTATAAAAAAAGTTCCTGTGCTAAATTTTTTTTAACCCCCTTAATATGGGTATCAAATGAAAGGGCTTGACTAGTAGAATACAGCACATCATAAAAAACCAAATTCAAGATGGCCGCAACCACAAAATTGCGGATTTCATATTTTACTCATTCTGTTGACCGATTGATCTGAAATTCGTTACACATCTTCAGTGCTGATGATAATACAATTATGTATATTCAGTATCATTGTAAATTCAAGATGGTCGCCGCTACAAAATGGCGGATTACATTTTTTTAACCCCTTCAATATGGGTATCAAATGAAAGGGCTTGACTAGTAGAATACAACACATCAAAAAACCAAATTCAATATGGCCGCCGCCACAAAATGGCGGATTACATTTTTTTGGCCCCTTCAATATGGGCATCAAATAAAAGGGCTTGATTAGTAGAATGCAGCACATCATAATAAAACAAATTTAAGATGGCCGCCAGCACAAAATTGCGGATTTCATATTTGCTCCCTATGTTGACCGATTGATCTGAAATTTGGTACACTTTTAGTTCTGATGACAATACAATTATGTATATTCAGTATCATTGTAAATTTAAGATGGCTTCCGCCACAAAATAGCGAATTACTTTTTTTTTAATCCACTCAATATGGGTATCAAATGAAAGGGCTTGCCTAGTAGAATACAGCACATCATAAAAAACCAAATTCAAGATGGCCGCCACCACAAAATTGCGGATTTCATATTTTACTCCCTATGTTGACTGATTGATCTGAAATTTGGTACACACTTTAAGTTCTGATGACAATACAATTATGTATATTTCATTTTACTCTATAGGAACAAATGGACTGGGCAAAAGTGAAATATAAATGATTTTCTTGTGATGTAACACTTTTATTAAATTATATAATCTTTATGTATAACAAAAAAATGTCTTAATCCACTTTAATTTCAGAATTACAGTAACACTACCCAATTCCGGAGCACAACTCGACCAAGTTGGAATGGAGAGAGAAGACAGGGCTCGAGCAGCTCGAGCACATATAGACAGTTAACGAGCGGTGTACTGGTTTCGTTAGTTTTTATTTTGTTGTTTTTTTATGAGTACGAAAAAGTTGTAACGTTTTGAGTTCATAAAAATAAATTAAATAAATCACTTCATTTGAAGTGCCCACTGAACGATCCCATCCCTCAACCTACGCTATCCACACCCGAAATCCCTTACACTACAACCAACAAACGTGCGATTACCTGAAGGACCTAAGCGTATATCTTTATTGCTATTGGTCCGATTCAAACGGGAAAAACGGCATTATGTAGATAACTTGATATAGATTAACGTCGAACAGAAAAATCATGCGCAGAACCAAAAGCCAGAAGGGCCGTTAACGTGTTTCTCGGATATTACTAGTCTGATTTAAACGGGAAAAACGGTATTATGTAGAGAATGTGGTATCGATTAACATCAAACAGAAAAATCGTGCGCAGAAAGAAAAGCCAGAAGGGCCTTAGCATGTTTCTTGGATATTACTAGTACGATTCAAACGGGAAAAACGGAATTACGTAGAAAACTTGACAACATTGAAAAGAACAATCATACGCAATGCCAAAAGGACCTTTTTTAAAGTAAATAGGTACTTCATTATTTTTTCCTCAATATCGAGATGTCTAGCAAACAGAATAGCCATAGAATTGAAGCGTTCAAATACTACGCATTATTTGTGATTGATTGTTCAAAGCAGGAAGAGACCATTAAATTTACAGTTGATGTAAAATTGGAAATAGAAGCAGATACAGGAAATCGATCGGTGGTGGTAGAGTTGCTATAGTCTGCCAATTTTTTAGTTCTCCTTCAGTCGCATCATTAAAAATCAATTTTAATTTGTATCTCTTTGCTTCATCGATTGCTATGGAAAACGCATTTAGCTTCATATTATTTACCATTGAGAAATTCATCTTTTGCCATTCTGTTTGATTGTCAAAACGTATCGCCATCTGTTGTATATATACAGCACGCTGTTTAATATAGCTGTAAGTATAATGAAATTAGCCTTTAAGATGGCCGTATTTGCGACAATTGGATTCTTCTAAGTGGATACCGATTAGGATGATATCTCTCAAAGACTTTATCCCAAAAACTTAAATTTGTTAAATCTCTTAAAACTTGTTTTTTATCTTCATATAATTTTATGTTTCTATTTAGTTCCCTAACTTTTACGCCAAACTCTTCAATTCTACATCTATTCTCTTCGCTAAACATCTCAATACTGACTATTCGGAGAATGGACGTCTTAGACCAACCTAGCTGTAGTAGTAGTTAGTTTAGTTGATGTACACGTACGTTAATCGAAAACGGAAACGGTAAACGAAAACGTCAAACAAAAACGAAAAACGTCAAACGAAACGTCAATTTTTCTTCATGTATACCACGTTCTCTATATAATGCCGTTTTTCTCGTTTTAATCTGACCAACAATAACAAATATATAAGTTTTAGGCCCTTTTGGTCCGTCACTGCGCATGATTTTTCTCTTCAACGTTAATCTGTACCGCTTTCTCTACATAATTCCGTTTTTCTCGTTTGAATCGGACCAATAGCAATAAAAATACACACTTAGGCCCTTCTGGCAATCGCATAATTTTTTCGTTCGGTGTTAAAAGAGATTTAATTCCCCCGCTCCACCTCACTATGTTTCACTCTTACCTACTGAATCTGTACCTCTCACTCTTACACATTGAATTCCCTATGTGTCCCCGTAGTAGCTTTGTCTATCTACTTATCTTTTATACTAAATATTTTATTGATATTTAGTATTACTAAACCATAGCATGAACATATTTAGTGGCTGTTTAAAGGCGCGAGCATTCGGGCTTAATGAGCATTAGGATGTGGCATCGCGTAAACATCTGAACGGGACAGTAGTAGTGAGACACATGAACTTATATTGCTTAATTTTTATTCATTAGGCTCAATTTCAGGTCACGATCGAGGGCCTGCTTTCCTATGGCTTGATAATATTTAATTGTAATTTTATTAAAACTTTTATTAATAGATTTTCATTCCAGCACAAAAAATGTAATTAGTAACAGTAGGCCAAACAAATTCTCCGATTTTATAATCTACACACTAAAATACATCTTTGTAAATGGATAAGAAGTAAAATTTACTTCATGACTATCTACCTACTTTGTTTTAATGCAGCATCAGTTATATTCGTATATTTATATATTATACCCTATTCTTCTGCAAACATTTTTATTGTTATTCTAATAGGTACTTCTTTTCCTGAATTTTTAAATGTTTATTTGGTTATAATGCATTAATAGTAGGTAGGCGATTTCTTAGATCCAGATCATAAACATCGTTATCAGTGTGTACTTTGATATAAAAAAATTACGCAAAACGATTTCGACAATGATAATAAGTACACCTATCGATGATAAGCCGATTCACACGAGACCCCTACATAAATCTAATTTGTAATATTATATCTCATAACGCGAAAGTGCTTTATAGCAGCAGCCATGGCATCTACAAAATTATTGTTGTTATCTTTTACTATTATTTGTCTAGCACAATTTATTAAAACGGTAAGTCAAACTATTTTTGTTTTTATTAGTTAATAATTTAAGCTCATGCCTTTAATTTATTAGATCATACAATTTTTTTCTGTTTGCATAAGATAAACTACATAGACACACCTAATTGCTAAAAATAATTCCGAGGACATTTAATGCTTGGATGTTAGAAAAATTAAAATAACTTTTTAAAAAGTTTTGATATTTACAATTTACTATTACGAATTATTATAATATTGAATTATTTATCGTAAAAAGCCTTCTAAAATGTCATTCTAACTCAAAATGGGTAGGTAGGTCAGAGACTGATATATCGCCATGACGCGTCTTTTTTTGCTGCAGAAGTAACAGTCTATGTAACTTTACTAAAGTAACTTGCTTTATAATTCTAGGTACAATAGCTCAATAAATCTTACTAGATCGTAATACCAAGCGATCTAATTTAAATCTATGAATAACGAATTTGCTATATGAGACACTCATCGTTGGTTATCTTCATTGTTTGTTTTATAAAACAAATAGCACACAATCACTTAGCAAGTAATGGCTATTCAAAAAAATTGAATAGTGTCGAGACTGTAATGCAGAATGCATTTTCACAAATTTTTGCTCTTTAACTTTGTAAAAATATTATATGCCGATAATTTGAACGGATGCATTTACGTTACGCTTCACACATTTGGGAAGCAAGAAGACAGGCGACGCGACAACCGCAGACAACCATTCGAGGAAACGATCAGGGTTGCCAGACCTACTATTTTAAAGTAGATCCACTGTTTTTGTCTCTGTTCTCCTGTTTTAGGCATCTACTGTTTTCGCCAACTTAACAAATTTTGTTTTTATTTTATTAAGTTTGCCTCATTCTTTAGTAAATGGTCAAAGAATATTTTCTCTAATAAAAGCAGCGCAGAAGCGGCGCAAAGCGTGGGCCACCACCGCCTACGGCCTCGCGGCTCAAAGGTTTAATACAGCTTTCTTTAAATTATGAAAAATATTTATTTTGTTTCCTTCTCACATCTGACCTACCTATATGTGAGCAAAAATCATATAAAAGAATGTTAACTTTCAAATACTCTGTATTTTAACTTTAATATAAAAAACAACGAATAACGAATTATTTTAAATAAGTAAGAATGCCAAATTCTAAACATCAAAATCTGTTTTTTGTTGCAATATATATCTCTCGAAGTGGCGCCGTAGTGAAATAACAAATAGGTAATATTGTTTTTCTACACCCATATGGATATTAGCTTATTTACTCTCAGATTACAAAACGAACCCAGACAACACACCAAGTCCCAGAGATATCCACAGAATATATTTTGTGGATATCCAATATATCCACAGGATATCAGAAATATTCCGTGGAACTAATATGGATATCCAAATGTCCGTCTATATCCAGAATATAGAAGATATCCTATGGATATTCAGCAAAATATCTAATGAGTATCTCCAGACAATACAAGAAATCCCAGATATATCCATAGAATATATTTTGTGGATATCCAACCAAATGTCCGTCTATATCCCAGGATATAGAAATTCAGATAAATATTTTATAATTATTTTTAGTAGAGGTTCATAAGTAACCAATGGTTATTGAATAACGTCGAAAGAAAATAGAGGTAAAAAATATTCCCAACAATCTGCCTTTGATTTTGCCTACTAAGGAGAAAATCATCCTTATTAGGAATCTTCAGCAATAAATGGAACTTCTCGACTTCAGTCTCTAATGAAGTCTGTTTGTGAAACAATGTCGATCAAACTCAATTACGGCGGGTTAAGCATGAGTAGATACGAAAGTGGTATCGCCATCTATACTTAGGAAGCAAAATCAAAAATTACATCTAGTAGATATCCACGATGGTTTGCGTCCGCGCTTAGACTTTGATATATTTATATTTATAGTGGATGTCCATGGGATATTGAATACACCTTAAAAAAAATTAATTTTAAATATCTCAATGGTACTATTAGCCACAATGGCGAGTACAATGGCGTAATTTTTTAATAATTTGCTATATAATTACAATTATTTATGGACATTTGCATGTCTATAAATTACATTTCATGGATATAAAATAGATATCCACCATGGACTGGACATTCAGTGGATATTGGGATGTTCAGTAGATATCCAAAGGATTTGGTGTGCTGTCTGGGAAAAAGTATGCTATTGCATTCAACGGAACGAATATATTTCATATCCATTGTAGGTAGTGAGAACACTGCAAAACAAAAGAAATCCACCAATCACAGTTTATATTTTGGACACCCAACCACTATTATTTTTAAAATTTTAAATAAGTGATAATTCTGTCAAACTAATTGTCATTATATTTTTTGGTTATTGAGATTAAATATATAAAACGAAAGTTAACATTTTGAAAATTTTTATCAAACTTTATGAAACTAATTTAATTACGAGTATTAAAACTAAAATCACAAAAGTGGCCGTGGAGCTGTGGGCAGAGCATCTGCCTTCCACGCGAATAGCCTGGGTTCGAATTTTATTTTATAAATTAATAAAATTCATTAATTATTTTGTGTTAACAGATAATTTTTTAAATTTGTATATTTTTTTAGTAGATCGTAGAAAAAATATACTGCACGACTCGAGTGGATTGTCCATATCTACTCTTGTTGCACAAACTACAATTTTCACTGAGTAGATACGCTAAATTAGTAGAATCCTGTAAATGCCATATATTCGCTTATTTTGTTTTCTGTTTGTATAAACAGATTTTGATATGAGAATCAGGTTTATTGATTGAAAGGGATAAATATTAAATAAAAAGTAAACCGGTCCATTGAAAAAAAAAAATGGTTTTCTGGTCAGAACCTATAAAAGTTTTACTCGTTAAGGTGAAATATTTGAACTATTATGCACAGTGTGTCAATTTAAAACATCTCTTTGGCAATCGTTCTATGCCAGAATATTAAAAATAAACTATTTTATAAAACAATTATATTAAAAACTAAAAATCGAATTATTATATTTAACAGAACGTTCCGATTTTGTTTACTTTTTTTTATTCTCCTCTAATATTCGATTCCAGAGGTGAAAAGTGAATCATTTGAAAGGTGCGTCTTTTGCGTTTTTGTTTTCTCTTTCGTTCCTTTTCCGTTTTTCCTTTTTTCTTTTCTATTTCTTTCCTAAGACGTCCCCTTTTATATGATTTTTGACTTATTTATGTATTTGTTTTTAAAAGCATCACCTTTAAAATTATTTAAAGTGGATTGTTCTCGAGTGGGTGAGATCAGTGCTTTCAAAGCTTACGAATTTATGAAGATTTACAAATAATGATCCCAAAACCTAATTTCATTAAAGATGTAAAACAGCTGCTCCAATACATAATAGAAAATAAGTTGAAAGAAATTTATCCAAATATTTATATTGTCATTCAAATTTTGTTAACAGTACCAGTAAGTACAACTTCTGCTGAAAGGAGCTATTCAAAATTAAAAGTAATAAAAAATTTAGAAGTACAATGGGCCAGCAAATACTTTTAGCTTTGTCAATTTTATCTATTGAAGCAGATATAGCATCTAATATGGATTATAGTACAGGAGTTCAGTAAAGCTAAAAGCAGGAAATATATGTTTCTGTAATTCTTTACTGCTAGTAATAATTACTTAATAATATTAGTTAAAGTCTATGAAATGTTAGCATTTTTATGAATACAAGTTTTAATTTTATTTCTCTATATAAAATCCGTCTTTTTGTGCCACCAGAGGGCCTCGCAAAAATGTATTTTGTCCACATAAAATTTAGGTCTTGCTCCGCCACTGAAGCAGCGTAATAAGCATCCAATACTGTAGGTTTGCTCCATAAAAAAAAACCTCACGATAATCATTATTAATAGGGCATCATAAAAAGAACATGCATGCCAAACACAACGTATTTGAATTATCTGATTCAGACTGATCTAAAAGAAATACCCATTATTTTTCTGTTTTTTGTATGTGTTCAGACGTGAAGAGACCGTTCTTGGTCTTCTTTGCCATCACGTCTGCTGTCGTATGTCGTCTGTCGCGCGTTCCGAAATGGTAACTTTAGGATCCCTTATTTTTAAAGACTGACATATTAATTAAATACCAATAACCATCGATAAACTAAACATTTATTTTTTATTTCTCAGATCCTGCATTTTTAGGCGTCTGATTGTGATTTGTTCACTTCCATTTGTTCCATTCTTTTCTGTTCCTGGATGTTTTTATCTCTGTCAAAAAGTTTTTCTATATCCACGTGGATATTATAACTATTCTACGCACAGATTACAAAAAAATCATTGTGTTTAAATACAATGGTTCAAATGAACGAATATATTTCATATTCATTCTACCTAGTATCGGTTATTAAATCTACTAATTACAGTTCATATTTGATCACCAGGCAATTTTAAATAAGTAAGTTACAAATTTTGTCCAATTAAATGTCAGTATATTGTAATGTGAGCCATTTCATTATTCAGTCATGCTCTAATACTCCAAGTCCCTCTCTGTATTACTTGGCCTTTGAGGCTCAACTTGTCCGATTATTATACATAATTAAACCCCTTAAGACCAAACCTATGTGACGACTATGGCGGAAGAGTTTTCGATTAATGTTCCAGAAAAGACGGGATAATGTTTCTAGAAAATTTGGTGGTTTCTAGAGAATTTGGTGACCTTTCCAGCTCATTCGCCAAACTTTTAAATTTGTATATAAATATTGGTGGGGAACTAAGAAGAATCAGTTATTATATGGACAGTGAAGATAAATAGTAATTAGTAGATATACAGTGGTGAATGTAAATAGTGATCAGTTTAAAGACATTTGAAGTATAAATAAATTAAAATAGTTGTGTTATAAAATAAATAAGTGTTTAAATAAATTATTAATGAATAAACTGTTGTTTGAAAATAAACAAACATCACAATATTCTTAAGATATTGAGATTAAATATGATTAAAAATGAGCCATTCTTGTGAAGAATCTATAAATAATAGAATTTCCAAGATTTATCTAAATTTACAAATAAATCTTAAATTTTAATAAAACTACATGCAATCAATTTAATTGTGAATATTAAAACAAAAAAAATTAGGTGTGTCGATGGAGTTGAGTAGCTTATACTGAGTTGTCATGCGAAAGATCCTGAGTTCAAATTTCCACATTCCATAGGATAAGTATAAGTATGCACCTATAACATTTCAGTTAAAACCTCCAGTGGTGTTGGTGTTCCGGATAATATACAAAACATATTTAAGTGTGTGTCTACTTGATACAAAGTAAATAAAAACAAATAATAATGAATAAATCATACTTTAATTATTTGTTTCACAAATAAAATTTTACAAGTACATGATACAAACATTTATTTACATTACAGACTAGATGAAATTGAAATAAAATTAGCAAACAGGAAGAGTCAAAGCAAATATAAACCGTTTCGTTAATCAGGTTTGATTATTTAATGACTGTGTTAAGTATATATCTTTCGTATTGCGTCATTGAGTTTTTGGCTAATATCAAACATTGTATAATATTTTTATTTTTAATTAGTGTTGATAGCTTTTGAGCTTAGAATTCACCTTACAAATTAAGAATTTTTTATTAATGGTGGCTTATTAGATTTTGTACCAAAGCCTATTGAATGTTACATGAAATGTAATACCGAAATTTTTTAAAAATATTCGCAAATAGAATTAAATATTGAAAAATACTGTAATTAATTTCAAAAAAGAAAATATAGACTGACGAAGTTTTGGTAAAGTAAATATACTTTATAAATTATAAAATTTGCAATAGACTATTTAAAAGGTTTTACTAATTATAGGAAAATTTCTATTCAAACACAATTTGATAAACTATTACATTCATTTATTTTTATTTATTTATTTTACATTAATAACTGTCAGAAAACCAGAAAAACTACTCGAATCTCTTTTTCTAGAGTCTGTCGAAATAATTTTATTTATGATTGTTTATACAATAAAGAAGAATCGTTTATTTTCAACTTAAGTCGGGCATTTTACTCGATTAACCACCATAACAAATAATCAATCAATAATCACTTATAAAAAATATGTCTCTTGGTGTACCACATGGCTCCATGTTGGAGCCATTAAGCGGAAAATGTCAGAGAATGGAAAAAAACGAGCCTCTGCAACAATAATAATAATAATACTCTCCCTAATTCACCCCCTTACGAGTGAATTTCAACCCCTGAAGTCGACTGAACGACTTGTGTAGGGGAAGGGACGGCTATTATTATTATTTGCCGTGGCGCTCCGGGGCGACTTAAGGATGATTGATGGTGCCATTTGACTTACAGGTGAGGAAAACCCGGAAAACCTCACCCACCATCATCGAGACGATAAGTAGACTGAAGAACCACCGGTTGTCAACAATGTAACAATAGCAATGAAAAAGAACCACTGAGGTGACTAATATAACAACCAGTATATACCGTATACGAGGTTTATCAAAAAATATCGTTTTTGCTGATGAAGTACCTTTATTTTTGACAAATCTCGTATAGGTACGACTGATAAAACTTGATATCCGATGGTTGTAGTTTACGTTTTAGACCATGCTCGATTTTTTAGGAAGAATAACTTGTTCCAAAATCTGTTTTTTATAAAATTATAAAGAGTGATCAACAAAAAAATATTTCTAAAATAGACCATGAAAATATTATGAGTAACGTATGTCGAAACATCCAATTCTTCATCTTTTTAAGTTTCAGTTTAGATTTAATTCAGAGCGGTGCGTATTTATTACGGACATAACTCGTACCTCTGTCCTTGTCGATCATGGCTTGACTTTCCAGCAGATTAAAATTCTTACAATTCATAAGCCTTTTATTTAGGTTAACCATACTAAGACTTGGGGAGCTAAAAAAGGACCTTTAGTAATTTCTACATGACTTGTATTTACCTTTCAGTTGAAAAGCGTAAAAAAAGATCTTCGCTTCCAGCACTGGGTTAAAAAAAATATGCTCACCATATTTTTATTACCCTTGCCTACTTTAGAAACATTTTTTTTGTGGATCACTCTGTTCAATCTATCTATTGAGCAAGGCAATATTTAAACAAAAAAAATCGTTTTAATTTAGGATTATATAGCTGCCGTAGTAGAATATCAACCAATAAATGGAACTGCCCCAAATGAAACCGTGGAATCGAATATAGCTCAATATGTATACAACATTGAGCAAGCACGAGTAAGTACTTACCCTTATTAGAGGAATAATAATAATAATAATAATGTTTATTCAAAAAGAAATAGTGTTTTACAAGAACAAGATAATGATAATACAATCAGATACAAATAAATAAATATATATAATTTAATTAACAAATTTTTATCGAATAAACATGGACCACCGTACGACTCGCTTATGACCTACACAGGTTGCGCGCGAGTTTTCTTGTTTAATTCCATTATTTAAATTCAATTTTTTTTTTTTTTTTTTTAGATATTGTACTTTTTAGTTCTAATTAATTTATGTCTCTTTCAATTAGAGAATGAATAATGGACCTTTCAACATTTAAAATAAATGATTTTAGAAGATCTATTGAATTGATTGATATTAAATATATTTTATACACGTTCGGCAAAAAATTGTAGATTACGGTACTTAAAAAATTTAATGATCTCTGTCCTATGGTCTTGTTTCTTAGAGCAATTTGGGTATTCTCTTCAAGTCTATATCGGGTATTATAATTATGTTTAATTGTTTGAATTATGGATTTATTTTTATAAATATATATAACGACATTGAAAAAGTATGCTTGTCTAACATCCAATAGTGATGTTTCTTTAAATAGAGAATTAGATGGGTAAGTATTATTTTTATTATAAATTATTTTTAAGAATTTCTTTTGTATTACTTTTAATTTTTTCAGATGAGTTTTTGAAGCAGAACCCCATGATAAGATAGCATAGTTGATTCTGGATTCAACAAGTGAATGATACATTATTTTAAGATATGCCGGTTTTAGAATAGTTTTCATGTATTTTAACTTATATAATAAGGGTCTTAAATTATTTGTGATGTTATTTATATGTATGTCCCATTTAAGGTGGGAATCTATAGTTACGCCTAGGTATTTAATGTTATTTTTTAATTTTATTATTTTGGTTCCTGTCTTATTGATTTGCAGCTCGGAAAATTGGGGTAACGTATTTTTATAGCTACAGAATGGAATAAAAAAAGTTTTTTCATAATTAATCGTTAGCTGTTTACAGTCGAACCAGTCAGAAATATTATTAAAATCTTCCTCTATTCTTCCCTTTAGCTCTTGCCATGTATTACCTTGGTAGAATATCGCCGTATCATCAGCAAAGCCAATGATATTTCCTTTAGTTGTCAAGGAAAACAGGTTATTAATATAAATAGAGAATAGCGTTGGTCCTAAGACTGTACCCTGAGGCACTCCAAATTTAATTTTATTATTTTTACTGGTACAAGTTCCTATTCGAACAGCTTGTTCTCTGTCGTTTAAGTAACTTTTGAACAGATTTAAAGGGACTCCGCGAATTCCTATATCCTCCAAGGTCTCCAACAGCTGATTGTGAGATACAGTGTCAAAGGCCTTGGCGAGATCTAGGAATACGCATATAGAAGGCTTTGCTGTATCTATTGAATCATAGATTTGGTTCACCAATGTAATTATAGCATCACTTGTTGAAAGACCCTCTCGAAAACCAAACTGAGATTTTGATAAGATATTGTATTTATTTAGATATGTCGTTAATCTGGTTTTCAGAGATTTTTCGAAAATCTTCGCAATTGTTGAAATCAATGAGATTGGCCTGTAATTTGATAAACATTTCTTATCTCCCTTTTTGTGTATTGGAGTAATGATGGCCTTTTTAAATTCTGCTGGGCACTGTCCTGTCTCAAAAATGGAGTTTATCAAATCTGATAAATAAGGTGCAATGATTTCAGCAGTTTCTTTAATAACCTCAGACTTAATGTTATCAATACCTGGTGCTTTTTTGTTTTTTAATGCTTTTATAATGTTTATTATTTCAGGTTCTGTTACAGGTGTCAAAAAAAATGATGAATTTACCTGTAGTTGGTTTTTTCTAAAGAGAGGATTATTTGGCCTAATTATTTTACCAGCTAATTTTTCCCCAATACTAGAAAAGTAGTTATTGAATTCTTGTGCTACATATAAGGGATCATTAACTAGGGTTCCATCTTCCGTAAGTATCTCCTCTATTTTTTCTTTATTTTGGCTATTATTACCACAACCTTTTATCAAAGTCCACAAGTGCTTGGAGCTATTTTTATTTTCTGTTATTTGTTTTGTGTAGAAATTTAGTTTTGCTGCCTTAATAGTTTTGTCGACGATTGTGCGGTAATTTAAATACTCACGTTTTTTAAAATTATTTTCACGATCTTTATTATATTCTTTATAAAGTTTATTTCTTTTTTGAATAGAGTTTATTAGACCTTTGGTAATCCATTGTTTTCTTTTAATGCACGCACGTGCTAACTTTGATATATGTGTGTTTGTTTCAATGTATAAACTTAAGGTTTTTATTATATACGTTGCTTTTAGATCTACATAGCCGATATTTTTGTATTGTGTCCAGTCATGTTTCTGCAACTCTTGTCTAAGTTTGCTGTAATTTATGTGTTTTAGAATGTGTTCGTTTTGGGATTTTAATTCTGGAGACAATGGGATAAATGCAAAAATCGCCCTATGGTCAGATATAAATGTGTCACATACCGATGCTATGCAACTTTTAGTATCTTTATTTTTGTTACTATAAAATATGTGATCGATGCAACTTTTTGAAATACCGCAAACTCTTGTGTTTTTATTTATTAAAGAATAAAAACCGTATTCCTCCATTATATTTAAATAATTGGAAACAGTGTCACTAATAATTTTTAAATTAATATTAATATCGCCAATTAAAATATGCTCAGTGATTTTTAATTTATTTGTTTGTTTTAGGTAAATTTCAAGATGTCCAAGGAATTCTTCCTCATTTACTGGTGGTGGTTTATATATTGAAGTTATTGCAATTTGATTATTATTTTTCATCTTTAATATTATTTGTATGGCACGACACATTCCTATAGATATTACATTATATGAATAATTAAATTTATTCTTAATAAAAACTATAACTCCATCATTTTTGTTTATATTACCTTCGCTATATAATAAATCATAATTTTCCAGCTGAAATAAATTATAGTCGTGCACATTAAACGTTTCACTTAAAACTATGCAATCGTAAGAAAATGAAAGTTGGTGTAAAAATATTTTCAATTTATCCAAATTTTTATTTATACTGCATATATTTTGGTGGAAAATGTTAAATGTTTGACCGTTTAAATTATTATAGAGATTATTAACATCATTTGGTGAATTTAATTTTATTGTATTGAAAGGTTCACGATTCACGTCCCTAATGTAAGGATCCATTTTTATGAATGATTGCTACTAAATATACAGTTATTAGCTACAAATACAGAAATTAAGTAAGAAAGTAATATTAACTTATAAGAATAGTTAATGATAAGTAAGCATATGTAACATATATATAAAAAAAAAAAAAATGTAACGTTGTAGCGTAATTACACAGAATAAAAATAGAAATAAAGTTAATTCACTGTATCATTAGTCTATGAGCTAACTTACTGCAAGTCACCGAGAGACACGTAAACAAGTTTTAGCGCCTGGGCTTCAAGTATTGGTCTATCCTTCTCAGTTAGTAAATCTAGATTAACAAACTTTAAGGGTTTGACTTCAAGGGATTCTTATTCCTAGTAAGGCGAGTTTCCTTAAATTTTTGATTAGGGCTAGCTGTTTTGTTTCCTGAATTCTTCGGTGTACAAGGAGCAATCCTATCCGGTTTGGTGTCAACCTTTTTTTTTTCTACAATATTTTTTTTTGGCTCTCCGTTTTTCTTAGTGAAAACTTGTTCTTCTTCTTCTTCTTCTTCTTCTTCTAAATTGTTAGCATTTGTTGTTGGAGTAGGCGGGGCACTGTTATATTTTTGGGGAAGTTCCACTTCGAACTCGGATTCCACGTTTCGGTCAATCGTCTCGCCTTCTAGTTGTTCGAATGTATATGGTACCTCTTCTACGTAAAGTTTGTAATTCCTAATATAAGCTTGTGAATTGTTTGCCTTTGCTAGTCTAAGATGTTTAACTAACGTTTTTGTAATATGTTGATCTTCCGGACTTTGGTCGTTTGATATAGATATACCTGTTCCTCTAATTTGTTTTATATTTTGAAAGATTTTTTGTTTTTTTAAGAAGGACACAAATTCTAGGATGACGGTGTTTTTCTTCCCTATGAAAAATATGTTATTTATATCTGCCTCCGTTAGATTTAAATTAAAGATTTCATTTAATTTTCTAAGGGTTTCGCTTAGTAGATTTTCGCGATTTGCCTGGATCCCAAATATAACTATATTATTTTTTTTATTGGCTCTTTCAATATACGTTATTTTTTTCTCTAAATTTTGGCATCTACTTCTCAAATTTTGAACTTCTTGATTGAGGGTTTCTTTTATATATTTAATTTCTGTTTTTATTTCTGCAGTTTTTTCGTTAATAATCGCTTCCAATTTGTGTAAAAGATCTTCATTCGAAAGATTCATATTTTAAGTTCAGCTACCTGACTATTTATTTATGGTGTACCGTATTTATCGGATTTCTGTTTTTGTGTAAAAGCAATTAGCCTTTATCTTTTATATCGAGACAAAAAATATATTGTTACTAGTTTATGCATTCATATTTTGATGGTTTTCTAACTTATTTTTAAATTAATCTTTGTAACTAAGTACTCACTTTATGAGGGATGATTTTGTCTTTTTAATGGTATACGTTTCAACTTTATTGCGGCACTTTTATCCACTGAATTTACAAGATTTCTTGGACAACACATCAAACACATCAACACACGTTAAAAATATTTTACTCAAATAGTTTTTAAAGCTTTAGTTAAAAATATTAATAGAAACATTGAAAATAAAATAAAAACATTTTTTGTTCAAATATATCTACTTAATAATAATTGTATTTTTATTTATTTTTAGAACAGCAAGGTTCAAATAATTGTTTTTCCCGAGTATGGTTTAACTGGTTTGGTTTTTAACCCAACCGGATATGCAATAGAAATTCCTAATCCTGGAGATAATACCACATATGAACATTACGTAAGTATTTATGTATTTATATTTATGGATATAAGAATATTACAATTGTTGATGTGTACCTGTAATATGTTATATTTTATAAAATTAACCAGACTTCTTGTGAGATTTCCTTTAAAGAAAAAATCTGATGTGTCCAACACATGACTTTCCTATCTAGTTATTACAGGCTTTTTCCGTTTATTGTGTACAACCTATTGCAGCATCTCTATAAATGTTTAGAGGATAAACTAAATATATACATTGTCCACATACATCTACCGCGAAACATTTTTCTATAGATATTCATTGAAAATGAAAATACTGAAAAATTTAAATTTAGAACTTTTCCTACAATTTTTCCATTACGGTCCATTTAAAAAAAATCATGTATGAACAAATATTATAGAGATCGATATCGCAAACAACTTTTATTTCAACAATTTTCATAAAAATCAGAATTTTTCACATTTTGTCAAATTTCTCGAATACGGTCCATTTCAGGAAATTTTTACATTTAGCAAAAATTATAGATAATAATATTAGAAGTAACTTTTATTTGAACAATTTTCTTCTCCAAACATAAATAACAGATATATTCCATAAAATATAAAAATGGCCTCCCATAAATTCCCCCCCAGATGTTCCGACTTTGTCCAAAATCTAATCATTTCACGTCAGGCCGAAATAAAACTTAAGTTTAAAATTTATTGATTTTTTCTTTATCCGTTTTTGAGTTTTCTTCAAATTTCGAAATTTACACATTTTCTCAAATATCTCGAATACGGTCCATTTAAGAGAAATTATCTATAAGATAAAAATTATAGAGAATTATAATACAAACAACTTTTGTTTGAACAATTTTTATAAAAAAAAATATTTTTTTACATTTTGTAAAATTTCTCGAATACGGACCATTTTAGGAAAATTTTGTATATGACAAAAATTATAGATAATAAAATAAGAAGTAACTTTTATTTAAAGAATTTTCTTCCCCAAACGTAAATAACAGATATATTCCATAAAATATAAAAATGACCACCTATAAAGTACCCCCCCAGATGTTCCGACTCTGCCCAAAATCTAATCAGCTCATTAGACGCTAGAACAAAGCTTAAGTTTGAAATTTGATGTTTTTCCGTGTATCGGTTCATGAGTTATGCGTTATACAGACACACACACACACACACACACACACACACACACACACACACACACACACAAACACACAGACACACAGACACACACACACACACACACACACACACACACACAGACATCATCGCGAAAATAGTCAAAACGGATTCAGGGGACCTCAAAACGTAAAAATCCGTCGAAAACTCGAGGTCGAAAAAAATCATGATTCCTATACTTTCCTTATATCTGTATACAGATAGGAAAGTAAAAATAGTAAAACAACAGTAAAATAACAGTAAAACAACAGTAAAACAATAGTAAATCAACAGTAAAACAATAATAAAACAAGCAATATTCAAAAGTAAATCCTGCCTTAAAACGGAACAATCAACGTCAACGACATCAACAAAATGTAACAGAAAAGTTAAAAAATATTCAAGGTAGAGAAAAACGCGCAGCACTAACCGCAATGCTGACGCCTTAAGTGTGGGTGACCGAACTCGCAGAGCTCGAAGTTTACTTACAATGGAAAAATACATGAGCTGAATGAATGGGAACGAATAGGATATCCAAATGGTGGCACAATAAGCCATTGAGCTTTAGTTCCGCCATGCGAACATCTGAGGAGGTAAAGCTGGCTGGATTCCAAGCTTGATTGAGGGTGGCCAGTGGCTGGACCTAAGCTTGATTAGGAGATCTGCCGGAACTTTCCCGGGAAAAACAGAGGGATGTGTTGTATTTAAAAACCGTTACACTAGAGCAACTGTATTATCTATTTCTGCTTCTGACAGTCCAACTTGAGTTTGTCCAATACTTTTTATAAGCTCTTCATATCAGAGATATGATAAAATGTATTATTCAAAAACGTGGAGTAGCCTGCGATCTCTTTTATTGACACCTATTTGTACCTACTGACTTTTGTACCTATGCAGTCCCCTTCTTCGTAGGTAGGTATGCATTTTCAATAAATAAATAATGTTTCATTTCTCTTACCAGTGACTTTAAAAACTATTAAATGCTGTTTAGGTATCGAATACATTCAGAATATAGGTAACCATTCAATTTTCAATAGATAAATATTTGTATTCTCTTACAGTGGCTTCAAAAACTAGCAAATGCTGCTGTGGCACATTCAATGTATGTGGTGCTTAATTTACTCGAACAAGAAAAAGATAATAGGAATAATACAACGTATTACAATACTAATATCGTATTTGATAAATATGGAAAACTTGTCGCAAAGTAAGTAGATTTTCTATGTTCCCTTTGTTAAATCAAATGTACTTATTATTAGTGAGTTTTAGCAAATGTACGTAAGATCTACGCTAACGTTGTGGTAAACTTAGATTGTGACATTTTCCATAAGCATTCAAAGAGGTAGATTACAGTATATCGCTAAGGTAACGTTAGTGGATGGTTAGCGGATGTTCGCTAAAACTCTCTATTTTGTATTAGGTATCGTTGTGCTTTCACAGCCAACATGTGGCAACTACGATATCCCCGTTATCGCTATGCTTTCTGCCTTTGTGACTGACAAATAGTTGACGACTGGCTGTTGCCCTGTTGCCATTTTATTAACTTATATACTAGTCGTATGCCTAACACGAAAAAATAAGTACTATATAATATGTATACAGGATGTACACTATTTGACAGACACTATTGGGATCTCGTAAAGTAGATGCTATTAAATCAACTTTTTCTTCGTAGCCCGTTGGACAAAATAGATTTTTAAATTTTCAAGATTGTATTGCAAATGGTATAAAATTACATAAATTTTGATATACTAAAAAAAAGTTAATACAGGTTTAAAATTATATAAAATGTCATAAAAATTGTGCAAAAATGTATTATCGACTACGGTGACTTGTGCGAGTTGTACAAAGTAAGAATGAACGATAAATTTGTAAATTATGTTAGCCTTAACAAAATGTGTACCAAAAAAGTGTCGTCACTGGCTCTCTTACCATTATAAAGATATCAAACCATTTCATGTTCTGTGCAATATTAATAAATCACCCTGTAGGCGCAAAAATCTTTTTTAAATTTTATCTTCTTCAAATTCATATACTTTTTTTTATTTTCTTGTTAAAATTAAAACATTAGAAGACAAAAAATTCTCCGATCTTCATAATATTACTTTACCAACTATTTTTAATAAAATTGACCAAAATTTACCGAAATTCGAAGGTTTATTTACAACGGAAAAATTGGATAAATATTAAACAATTCCTATAAAATGTATCTAAATGAAATTAAAAAGAAAAAAAAAATAGTTTGGCTCATGTGGGATTCGAACCCACGACAACCACGATCAAGTAATAAGTGTGGTGCTCTTACCAACTGAGCTAACGAGCCTTGATTATTTGTTGTACAATAATGAATTATTATCAAAAATGTTATCTGTTCATTAGTTTAATAATTGATAATATACCTACTATATTCATGTTTTCCTTATACTCTTTGAGACGGTTTCAGTTAAACTTGGTGTTATTTGATTGATTAAGCTCAGTCGTAATAGATTAGATTTAAGGATTTTAAAACAAAAATTTGACAAATCATTTGAAATGGAAAAACGCATATATGTTAATGTTTATGATGTCATTCGGTATGAACAGGTACATTTAAATGTATTGAATTTTACTTTTATGTTAATGTTAATACTTAAAATCAGGCTGACTAAACGCACCTCAAATCACCTATCTTATTTAAGATTGTTTTTAAGGCCGTTAATCTTTTCTCTATTTATTTTGTAATATTTTGAAAACGGTTCAGGAACCTATATACCTAATAACAATTTTACTCAGTGATTTCGGATTATACACTATTCATTTTGTGATTTAATTTTTTCAGATACCGCAAGATCAATGTATACGAAGAGCCAGCAATAACACCTGGAAGTTACAATCAGAACCAAAATACTTTTGTAACTGATTTTGGTATAACTTTCGGAACTTTCACATGTTACGATATAACTTTCTTCAATCCTGCCAGATCTGTGTTATCTAAATCTGTCACAGATATAGTTTATCCAACTGCTTGGCATTCATTTTTACCTTTCCATCACTGTAAGTAAAATAAAAATAATATCTATAATAATTTTCTAACTTTCAGGGTTAAAACCACTGATCTGTATTATACAGTGGTTAAAACTGATCCAGGCGCTTTTTTTTTCTAATGGTGAAAATAAAATAAATATACATCATTACAAAAAAAAAGTTCAAACTAAATACTCCTTTCTCATGAAAAAACATCTTTTATTTTTTTTTATTCTTCTTCTTCTTCATGTTTTGACTCACTTTTAGCAAAACTTTTTTTACTAAATTATTTATGGAATACGACACTTTCACTTTTAACTTATACATGACGTTTGTTCCCTACAGTCCTCTTTCTATTTTACGATGGATGGGAATGTGAAGCATCTCGATGTTGACATATACAGGGTGAGGCACCGAAAACGAAACAGATCGCATATCTTGAACACATTTTTTTTTGGAGAAAATGCAAAAATAGGTCGAATTTTATTTCAAAGGGGACATCTTTCGATCATATCCTCAACTATCCTACATCCCTCCCCACCCCTCTGTCACTATTACGAATGAAATTAAAATAAGGAAAGTACTAAGTGTGACACATCATTGAAAAGGTAATTTTATAAGGAATTTGACTGTGTGACAGTTTATTACGTAACTTTTGATTTTGGCGCCATCTTGCTGAAAAGTTTCCGTATTTTAAATAATGATACTTCATTTGAAAGTAAAACTCATTTAATAGACAATTCATAATAAAAATAAAAAAAAATAATAGAAAAGTGAACATAAAAATTAAATTAAAAAATTTAGGACAACTCCCATAATTAAAAACTAAATTACTTCAAAGTAAATGCTCAAAGTGTTATCCATTAACTTCCATACACAAATATAAATTATTCTCAAATCTTTGTCTGACGTTTTGGAGCATTTCTGGAGTTATTTGACGACATTTGGTAATAATACGTTCACGTAACTCTTCTAAGGAACCTGGCTGAGTGGCGTATATTTTATTTTTCAGATATCCCCATAAAAAGTAATCTAAGGGGGACAAATCAGGAGATCGTGGGGGCCATTCAATAAATCCTCTTCGTCCAATCCAATTTCTAAGAAAGTTTTCATTTAAGTACTGACGAACCGCTGCAGCAAAATGTGGAGGAGCCCCGTCCTGTTGAAATATTAGGTGATCTTCAAGGTATCGGTTATCGTTTTCTATTATGTCTGTTAACAGTGGATCAACGGTGTTTTCGAGTAATTCCAAATAAATATCCCCAGTTAAAGTACCTGGTAAAAATAATGGACCAACAATACGATCGCCAAATATTCCAGGCCAAACGTTTAACTTTTCTGGGTGTTGAGTATGCGTTTCATGAAATACTCTTGGATTGGAATCTGACCAGTATAGACAATTATGTAAATTGACAGTCCCGTTAACATAAAAACTGCATTCATCTGAAAAACAAATGTTATAAAGAAAATGTGGATCTTGTATAGCATGCTCTCTCATGATTTCACAAAATTGCAAGTGGCGATCAAAATCGTCTTCTTTAAGTTCCTGAACTAAATGAATTTTATAGGGATGGAATTTGTTGGCTTTCAAAATTCTCCTGACGATACGGTCACTTACTCCAGATAATTCTGCAAGCTTTCTTGTACTAAGAGTTGGATCTGCAACAACTTGTCCTAAAACGGCTACCTCTACGGCTTCCAAAACGTACTTACGTTTAACCTGTTTGTTTGGGTGTCGCTCATTGAAAATTGTACAGGCAGTGTTAGCACATTCGTTATTTTTTAAATAACATTCAACAATTTCTACTCTCTCCTGAATAGAATAAACCATTTTTATGTTTTACTCGCTAATAGACTTGAAGTTTCAATGACACTAAACTAAAAAACAGACCTGGTAGTTATGAAAATAAAAACCTTTATTTTTATTTTACGAAAACATAGGCGTAGTAAATTCAATTTTATTCCAAAGGTAATTATGCATTAAATTTTTAAATTTGGCTTTCACATGACAATATGCTTATTTGAACTGTCACATGTCACACAGTCAAATTCCTTATAAAATTACCTTTTCAATGATGTGTCACACTTAGTACTTTCCCTATTTCAATTTCATTGGTAATAGTGACAGAGGGGTGGGGAGGGATGTAGGATAGTTGAGGATATGATCGAAAGATGTCCCCTTTGAAATAAAAATCGACCTCTTTTTGCATTTTCTCCAAAAAAATGTGTTCAAGATATGCGATCTGTTTCGTTTTCGGTGCCTCACCCTGTATGTGTATGTAATAAGTTTAACTTCTTATTTCTATTTTAATAATAATAATAATAATAATTAATAATAATAATAATAATAATAATAATAATAATAATAATAATAATAATAATAATAATAATAATAATAATAATAATAATAATAATAATAATAATAATAATAATAATAATAATTAATAATAATAATAAAAACGTCTTTATTATTTCCAATAAATACAATTAACATTTCTCATATACTTGTATCTGGATTTCTTTTCTAACGTTTTCTACCTTAAGATGTGTAAATATGCACCTACTCTAAACATACCAAGGAGCTTCCACAATATTTCGCAGTACTTTATTTTGAAACCTCTGAACGATTATCCACATTGGATGGCTTAGCACAACAAAAAAATTTCACGATACAAGTCCATACTAGTTTTAAAACTTCCTGAACAATTTACTGGGTACCTTTTTCATACTTCTTGATGTGCTCTTTCCAAGTAACCTTTGTATCTAAGTTCAATAAACAATGCAGAATATTCGTTTTCTATTCACGAATGTAATCCTGTGGATTTGATCTATTGGGGAGTTTTGTGTTCTAAATCCTTTAATAAATTATCTTATCTCTATGATAGTACTTTGGGCCTCTTTAATCTATGTTTTTTTGCAGTGATGATAATCAAAATTTGATTTTCTAGCATTATCGATTCAATCTGGCTATGCTCTCGCTAATAAAGTTAACCTCTTGGCGGCGAATCTGAACAATGTAGAAGAAGGAATTGGCGGAAGTGGTATTTACGGTGCCAATGGAAGTATTTTTAGTTATTATCTATCAGGAAGTGAAGGAAGCAAGCTTCAAATTGCTACTGTAAAAAATGTTCCAACACATAATAATACGGCTTTCGTAAGAAATATTTTTTTATAATTAATTGAAACTTTAAGCAAATTGGAAACATTTATTACTAGATTAGTATTTTTTTTAGAATACATTTGGTTTTGAAGTATTGGACGACAATATACCAACATTGGCCAATTTTAAGGCGAAGAGATATTTTGAAAGCGACAAATACGAGTTCAGAAGGTTGAACCTTTCTCAACACATCGTCAAAGATGAAGTTTGTCACAAATATTTCTGTTGTGTTTTCACTGTTAACGCATCTTCTTCTAACGCTTCTGAAGTATATCAGTAAGTATATCTTCTTACTATTATAATAATTTTTAAGATGATTTTAACAGTTGATTTAGGAGACAAAATGGTTGTATTCTAAAATTAACCATATTTTTCTTAACAACATCTAAACTTCTAAAGAAAACTCTTCCATATATTAGAGACCAAAATAGAAAGGGGTACCATATTTTCATTTCCCCTCCGCTATCTTGGAAAACAAGCAAAAACTAGCACTTTTCCAGTTTTTCGTCTATAACCCCATTCTAGTGCATTTAAGCCCAAAATAACTTACAGGCAATCTCGTAGAAGATACTTTTTTTTTACAAATTTAAATCTACAGTTATAAAACGCCCAAAAATGGCTAAAATCACAAAATGTTCTTATATGACGATAACTCTGTAACGCTCAACTATAACGCGAAAATCCTAGGACCAGATGTTATAGAGAATTAAATTAGCTACAAAATTCATTTAAATTTTTTTCATGATAAATAAAAATGAGAGGGAGCGAATTTAAAAAAAAGAACGAAAAAGTCATTTTCTAAAAAGCGGCTAGTTAAAATTTTTAAATAACAAAAGAAAAATCGAATATAGAACGTTTTGAAGCAGAGAGTGAGTCGGTGTCATCTTCTTCTGCATCTATCTTCTTCATCTATCTTCTTCTTCTTCTATCTTCTTCATCTATCTTCTTTTTTGAAGAACTGCTTAGTTGTACATGTATCTATCTGAATTAGGGCGTGGTTCAAAGCATACTTGTACTAAAGCTCTAGGCTTATTGTACCCCTCACAGTTTCTATCCCATTAGATTGATTTTCTTGATGAATTCAAGAATATGTGTGGTGGGCGCTTTAGCGATTTCTTCAGGTTCCGGATATTGTACCCCAAAGTACCATTCCTGTTCCCATTTAAGGTTCCGACAGTGGCATAGTATGTGAACAGAAGTTTTGTCCTCCTTTTCACATATTCTACAAAGGGAGTCATCAGATATACCTAAGAGATTTTGGTGTCTTCTAAGGCCGCAGTGTCCCGTAAGAAGTCCTATTACGGTTTTGAGTTCGCTTCTGCCAAGATTTAGCAGTTGATTTTGTCTGCTCGTGGATGGCCCCTCTATGAATCTTTTGGACTGATTATGTCCAGGAAGTTCCAACCAAAGCCTATGGTGTTCTTTATTTATTTGTTCCTTTAACACCCATTTAACATGTTAGTATGAGATACCACATGTAGGTTCTGGTCCAATAAGAGTTTTTCCACTCCCTTCCTTGCTAGGAGGTCTGCTTTCTCGTTTCCAAACACTCCCTCATGTCCTGGCACCCCTTCAAAGGTGACCTTGTTATGTTCTGCCAGGGTCTGGAGGGACTGTTGTACTTCTACCCTTTCCAGTGCTTTAAGGGCTGCCTGACTGTCTGTCATGATAAAGACCCTCTTATCTCTAAAAGAGTCATTTAGCTTTTTATGTAGAGCAATAAGCACTTAATGGTAACTATTAAACTTAACTATCACAGTTACAATCAAGTGTTAAATAATTATTGCTAATGCATATGAGTAAATTTGTACAAAATTTTGTTTTTTACATGACATTGCATATAACTTGTTTTGCGCTTGTTTTCTGAGATATTTTATACAACATATCAAAAATCTAAAACTACCAGGCCCTTTAATAGGATAAAACCTCTATTCCCTGAAACAACAAAGTCGGAAAAATTAAATTCCAAACCTTTTCAATGTTCTTCTCTGTTACACAATTTTTTATTATTTCAGGATTATGGCTTTTAAAGGTCAAATAAGAGCTGGGGAGATTACAGATGTGAAACTATGTGCTCTTCTTGCCTGCGAGAGTGAAGATATAAACACTTGCGGGGAAAGAAACGCCAAATCAACGGCCAAATTTGAATCGATAACTGTCGAAACGAGCATGCCAGATGGGCCTGAACAATATTTTCTTCCTATTTCATTAAATGCTGATTTGAATCCAATTTCTAATACCGTTTTCAACAATACTATTAATGGCGATACTAGAACAATTAAATATCACTATTCGAACCTAAAACAACAGAATATTATTGCATTTGGTATTGTAGGAAATAGTGGTGTTACTTTAAGTTTCAATTTTGTTTTAATAGCGGCTATTTTGGTTTTAAATTATTTATATTACTAAAGAAGCCATTAGTAATAAATTTATATTTTATTTTTGCTTTAATACAATATATTTCACTTTTATAACAAATTTTTTGTACTCCGTTTAATTCTGTATCTGTTTTTTTTTTAATAAATTATAGTTTTAAAATAGCTGTATTAATTTGTTTAGGTATAGGTATTAGCGTAAAAAACGTAAAAACACTGTTTTTTATGGGTAAATTTGGATCAGAAAGTATAAAAAACAATATTTTAGAAATATAAAGGGACGTATCGTCTTGGGATAATTATGCTCACAAATTTACGCAAACTGGATGGTGAAATTTATTAGTTAGCTATCCAACTGGTGAGTTGAGACTGTTCGTTATCTCAAGAGGACACTTACACTAGCGACCCATAAAGTCTATGTGAACATCAACACAGTAAGTTAACCAACTGGCTAATTGGCGCTGTTCGTTAACTCCATTAGTCATTACCTCTACACTTGATAGCAGATTAATGTGGTTCGCGTTTGAGCTCGATAAAAAGTACCTATTGTAATATACTTTGCAAATTATTACGTTACATTTTAAAGTATCAAAAATAAAAGGGATTAATTTATGGTTTTATTTACGAATTTGCACCAAACTTTGCATGGAATCCTGGTATATTTTAATTAACATTACTACTTCTAGAGGAAAAAGGCCAAATACAGTAAGTATAGAATTTAAAGTAAAAAATCATTGATAGGTAAATAATAAAATTTCAGATTTAAACAAAAATCAAAAGAGTATGGGGTTGGGCATTGCATTTTATTTACCTTATTAAAAATTTTAAAATATGTACAACAGAGGCATAAAATAAAAACACAATTTCCGGAGGTCTTGTGTCGGCGTTACAATTTCCTGCTGTTCCTTTTATGATATTTTCACCTATCCTACGCGTTGTTATTTTGAATTTTGGCTAGACTAAATATAGCAGCTCCCGCTCCTTGTCAGAGAGGCATTATTAAGGGTTTGTGATTGTTTTGAGTCAGTAAAGATTTGTCTTGAGTTAATTTTGTAGTTGTCCCCTGAAAAAGCTAGAAAACAACAGGGTTGTCATCGATGGAAGTTGGGCTTGTGTTAGTCTTTTTTTTTGTCACAAATTTACAGGGCGAGTGACCAAAAAACCCGGAGAAGGAGCCGCAGTCGAGGACAAAAATTGCCCCCGGCTGGGGCCCCGCCGGTACACCCACTACTCAGTCGTCCGTCCGACTAGATCTCGTATGGGGGTGGGCGGTTATATAGTAATATTTTAGAGCTCCTTGAAAGGACGGAAAGGTCCTTTATACCTCTTATTTGCTACAGGCTTTGACAGTTTTGCCAAAAATATAGTAGACTCGTTTAGACAGTGCGATTTGATGACGCTACTTACTGCTGCAGCCATTACTGTACTAAACAATTCAAAAAATATAAGAAAAATTGGTTTTATTTTATAATTTCTATGTCGCCGTGTAACTCTAAACCCACCCTTAAAATAAAATATTTCCCTTTCTGCGCGAAACGCCCCGTATATGTTTATTGCTGGAAAATAAACGAAAGCGCTAAAAGCTCTAACAAAAATAAAAGCTAAAAGAAAATAATAATAATAAAAGTTTATTCAAAATATTAATATAATACAATACAATAAGTATAACAGATATATGACAAATATATAACAATTGAAAAAAGTGTTTTGGTGGTTTTTAATTAGTTAAATATATAGGTATATTTCGAGGCACGCGGTTTGTCCAAACAATTATGCAGGTGATTTCAATGTTTGTATGTAGCTACCAATTGAAAAGTACAAACATCTCCGTATTATAAAAACATTGTTATCTGTATTTATTAACATTGAGCAATAAAATTAAATACATAGAAACAGAACTAACTTATTCGAGACAACTAAGTAACTAAATTACATTTCAAGAGTTGACAAAACATCCAGTAACGATGACAAATTATAAAAAACTGTTTTTGTTGTCTTTTACCATTATTTGTTCAGTACAAATGATTCAGTCGGTAAGTTATAAAATTATTTGTTTATTACTAAATTCATTATAATAGCATTTTTTTATATTATCTTAAATCTTTAGTAGTTGCTTTTTTAAAAATGAAATTTCATTTCGAAAATGTACATTTCATTTCAATTAAAATCACACAAAAGCGCCAACACACTTTCAGAACTTCAACACTATTTTTTTATTGCATCAATTTATTATGGTTCATAAAAATCATAAATAGAAAATCCAGCTCTCGATACATCATTATCAATGCATTATTGGTACAAACAACTCATCTGTGTTATCTTTTACCCATTTTTGCAAAATCTGGCGTTTTAAACAAACTTAAGCCATTAAAAATATATCAGGTGATTTTAGCTGTAAATATACAGGGTAGCCCATTGAAAACCTACCGCAAGTCATTACATATGGTGGAAAAGAACTCTTCGGCGAAATCCAAAAACACGTCAAGTTTGTTTATTAATGGGACACAGTAAAACCTTTAATCCCCACAGTAGGTGTCATCTTCCAAATTTTTTCAAAGGGGAAGAGAGTCAAGTGATACCTCATTAAAAGGGTCTTGTCATTCCATAGACAACGCTGCTGAGTTTTTGAAAATCGAGAGAGAGAGAGAGAGAAAATTATGGAGTCTTGACAGTTAAAGAATAATGTGTGTGCTTTTTGCGTCAAAAGATGTCCTCTTGACAAACAAATGACATGTTTTTGGATTTCGCCGAAAAGTTATTTTCCACCTTGTAATGCCTTGCGGGACGTTTTCGATGGGCTACTCTGTATAAGTACCTATACTTAGTTATTTATAAGTACTTTGTAAAGCTACTCGTTGTGAAATACTCGTGAGTTCTTTAAAGCAGTACTCTGCCCAGCTCTACTCGCGCCTAGGTCTCCCGTTCACAAATGGTACTTTAAGCAGAGATGTTTGGAGTAAATAAACATCATTGGATAGGATGAAGTATATGGAAGTATAAGGTTTATACTATGAAGTTTATACTCTTGTTATATAGGAAAAATTATATAGGTACCATGAAATGAAAAAATGTCAATATTATCAACTGATGCAAAGAAAAATCCTATAAATATGAAAGTTGTTTTTTATAAATTGTAGGACTATATTGCTGCAGTAGTAGAATATGAACCAATAAATGCTACTTTCCCTAATGAGACCGTAGAAGCAAATTTAGCTCAATATGTATATTTTATTGAACATGCTCAAGTAAGTACTTATAATATATGCACATTTTGTTTATTGGTTTAGTTGTCTTCGACAACTAAGGTCATTAACATCGTTTTTAGTGAAAGTTTTTACTGAATCCTGGCGACACTTTAGGAAACAACTATTTTAATTTAATCCTTTTTTTTAATTTATTGACAGATCTAGCCCAGAAGTTTTAATGATGTCAAGGTTCAAAAATATTTTCTTAAACTTTCTTGCAATTTTCGTCATATTTTGATTCGAGGTTATAACGCATTGGACTTAAGTTTTGAGAAAAAAGGTCTTAATCAGAAAAATAACGAAATTGTATTGGTGTTTGACCTTTTACATCTTTTGACAACGTGAAAATTAAACCATAGTCCTCAATTGTATGCAATTTGCCTGATATTTTTTAATTTTTCAATGTTATTTTATTTTTCTAAAAATTCAAAAAACTTGAGCTAGAAAAAATTTATTACTTCTTATTAATGTATTTAGAGAAATTTGTATTATTTAAATAAAATGTGAACTGTGAAATGTTGTAAGGATAAAACTCAAAATTGAATTAACACAAAATAAAATTAGTTAAATATTGACTAATCAGTTGGTTTTGAAACCAGTGCCAAACATAAATACATACACACACACACACTAAACATTCGTGTAAAATTTTATAAAATGTTAAATATTTTCGATTCGCTATATAGCTCGGAAAAATTGCCAAAATATATTAAACGAATCTACAGAGTTGTTATTTCTTCTTATATTTTATGTTTTTTTTTGTTTTATTTAGATCAAATTTTCCAGCTATACAATAAATTATTTTAGCTCAGTTCTGTTCAAATCATTGTTTTTCCCGAGTATGGTTTGACTGGTTTAGCTGACAACGCAAGTGAATATGCAATAGAAATTCCCAATCCTACTGACAACAGTATACATTTTGAACATTTTGTAAGTATATATAAAGAAATAATAATAATTACATTATGTAATTGTTCTCTTTTAATTTATTATTATAAACAAACGTATCCTTTCAGTTCAGTTTATTTAAAAAATTTTGCTTGCACTTATTTAAAGAGCATTTCAGCAGGATAAGTGCTTGTAAGACTTGAAAACTGGGTGCCAGCGACTAAATTTTACTTTAAAGGAGTACATTCCTACTCTAATGCTATCTAGCGACTTCGGACTGTTTGTATACAGGTCTAATACTTATATTCATGATTTCCACCCATTTATTATTAATTAATTATATTATATGTTCAGCTCTTATTCAAGCTATATTTATCGCTTATTATTTTACAGTGGTTGGAAAAATTATCAAATGCTGCTGTGGCACATTCAATGTACGTAGTGGTTAATTTACTTGAAAAAGAAAAAGCAGAAAAAAATATTCTTTATTACAACACTGATGTAGTATTTGATACTAAAGGTAGAATAGTTGCTAAGTAAGTATTTTTATGATTAATTATTAAAAAATCCCAACACATGACTTTCCTGTCTAGTTATTACTTGTGTACGACCAAAGGTCAGTTTTTAACCGAAGCCGATTGTTCGGTTCTTGTCGTAATCTTCGGCCAACTTAAAAATTTCAGAACATTACTTGATTAAACTAAAAATTATTATATACCAATGTAAATTGCGTTTTATATATTGTTGACAATTGGACATTTCCAAAATTCACAACTCTCAAATTAATGTAAATACAATTGTTTTGTTGTCAAACAATCAATTATTATCTTCCCCACTCCCATTTTCTACACGAGATTTGTTCTTGATCAAATCATTGCATAAAGATTTTCATCCGCCAATAAATGGTTATTATGAAAATTTATTATTGAATTTTGAGGAAAATTAGTTTCATCGGTAAAAAGAATGTGCCTGTCAATTAATGGATTTTCCAGCAGGTTCTGAAGAAATCACTCACAGAAATTAATGCGCAACGAAAAATCTCTAGGAAGTTATGCCTGGACTCTTTGAATGTGATATGGGCATGGGTATAACAAATTTCCTATGAGAATTTTCTAAACAACTTAAATGTTGCTGTGCTAGTTTCGGGGTTCTCATGTAAAATTTATTCTTCAAGTTCCGGTGTTCTTACTGTTTGATGGACTCCTTTAGCCTTGTGGTTTACTTTTAAAGTTCCGGCCTCGGTAGACGTCTATGAATCCTAGAAAATATTCACGGATTGGGTAGTATGCGATTTGGATACTGCTCTTGGTATATTCACTTGGCTTTATATGCATTTCCAGAGACATGATGAGAGGTTCTACAAACACATCAACATTGAAGTACTTCAACTTTTAGACAGTCTGGAACTAGTGCGTAGACTTAAAAGAGTCAAACCTTTTGAGCTTGTGTTAGTAAAGTGATCGTGAAAGAGCCATAATAGAAGTGTGTAGAATATGTTAATAATTAGTATTGAACGCCGGTGAAATCTAGATTTAAAATTTGGTAATAAATTAGGTTATTTTAAAAATGCAGATTATTCTTGTAAGGTTAGGTGCATTCAAAAGTATTTAAAAATAATTGGCTTATAATTTCGGCTTTTTAATAGTGTATAAAAACAGATTTTTACTCCATTACAGCAACCCGAAATGCTTTAATGTATTGATAACAATTAAAGCATAGATTTACATTCTTAAAACTAAGTCAAAAACATTTTGTTTCCCGCAATATTCTGTATCTCCATCTGGTGCTACTAACTATATCAAAGGGTTGTGAAAGTCCGTAGCAAGTAATGCTTACATGTATATTGCAACTTTATTTCAAAAATAATATCGTTTACTATAGAGACCGTGCGTCATGACTTTAACGCTAACTGGTGACAAAAATGTGAACTTTATGGGGGGTATTTATTAATGTTTTAAACGGCATTTATTGCTTAATAATTATTAATAAAATGAAGTCGAATTATTTTCGTAATATCAATATCGAAAAAACTTGTTGCATCCGTGGATGTACAAACACATCACTTTGGAAACCTGGATTTCATTCGATAGTAAAGAAATTTTATAAATTTCCACAGAGCACAATTATGCCTCACACCCAATGATATACATAATTACAAAGATTGCTTATCCATATGTAAATCAGACGACGAACAGCGTATTTCACTGGGCAAAGTTTTCTTTTTATCTAGCTTGTATCAATTTTGAGCACTTAGCTCTATGGCACTTAGTTGTAAGGAAATCATTTACAGAACCGGTTTAGAAATTAGAATCTTTAGTGTTTTCTTGTCATTAAGATTTTTACATATTTAAATGAACATTTTATATAAATATCATTTTACAGATAATGGTTTATTCTGTTGATTAAAACTAATGTAGAATATGAAATAAGAATGTCCAATTTGACAAAAATATCACGGCCCTCTTTACAATTTATTAACTATTTCTCATTTATTATTAAAATAAACATATAAATAATACATTGCAATTACTGTCAAAAGAGATTGTAACAAACTTTAAAATATTAAAAATCCAGTGATTTTTGTAAATTTTTTTAGTGACATTACCATTAAACATTATTCAGAATAATAGATAAGTGTCCAATTACAACTCTTCCCAAAGTTGTTTATACCTCATATCAAAATTGTTTACATTACCTTTTCAAAATTGTATTACATATTGCAATTATGTATTTTATGTAGAATTGTTTCTGAAATAGTAGTCTAAAATTATTTATATCTATCTGTTATAAAAATTGTTTAGATCTCTTAATATTATTTAACTACATGAAAACTCAACTTTCCAAATACATAATGACATGTCTTGAAGTAAAACTTTAATTATTTTCTTTTTCTAAAGATTAAAATGCTGAAATTTTATTTTAAAACACATTTGGGCTAGAACGGCTCTATTTAGTGAGCACTAGGAAAGGCACATTGCAACTCGCTTTTCATAATTTTTTTATAGATGGGTGAGCAATCTATAATATGTATCATTGAACATCTCATAAACGTCAGTGGATGAATGACATTTCGATTAACATAAAGCTAAAAAGATTTATAATTATTATTATCAATCTTTTTTATTAATTTACATTATTTAAATGTTATTGTAATACTTTTAAAGTCAGTGTTACTAAATACCGATATTTTAACATTGGATACACTTGTTTAAGGTACAACTTTACAATTTATTGTCACTTAGCCATTTAAATCTTTTTGCTTAAAATGTATATGCATGTCCAGATTTTAATAATGTTTCACATTTTACGTCATTTTGACCATGTACACGATTGTTTGGTACGGGCCGGTATCTATTTTTAACTATATTTAATATTTAAAAAAATACCCTTTATTATTTACTTACAATGTTTACCCCATTTAGTTCTAAAATTAAACACTAGAGAGGGCTAAGTTCGGCAGTAGTGCTGCCTCTATATTTCACGCACGGTCCCTATCTATCTCGTGTAAAGGTGTAAACGACTCTTTTAAGCAGTAGAATTTTCATCGTATCTGATTAAATTCATAATTTTTTTTCAGACATCGTAAAGTAAATCTTTTCCAAGAACCATTATTAACACCAGGAAATTCAGAGCAGAACAAAAATATTTTTACAACCGACTTCGGTGTAACTTTTGGAGTGTTCACGTGCGCCGATATATCTTTTTATAATCCTGCCAAAACTATTTTATCTAACCCTGCTGTTACGGATATAATTTTTCCCACCGCTTGGGGTTCATTTTTACCATTCTTTCATTGTAAGTAAATAATCATTAATATACATAAATATGGATACTTTTATATAGATACTATTAAAAATATTAGATTTATGCATTTGAGCCCGTTTGTTTTACAATCATTAATCCAATAAATGTTTATATTGGGTTTGTTTTGGTTCAAACAGAACCGTCGATTCCACTTCTTAAATAAAGTGGACGAATTAATTTTTCAAGAACACGTCGCGAGGTTATAACAACCTCCTAGCTGATTAAGTGTAATTCAGTGATTCTGAACTAGTTTCCGAAAGAACCAGAACAAGCCTATTAGCGCTCAAATAAACAGTAATGTGACAGTTTTGTTTTTTCAGCTCATCATTTCAAATTTCAGATGTTTGTCATATTTATTGAACCTTCTTCAGATAATTGTTAACCCTAAAGGTATCTTCCAACAACGATCATAAACCAGTCATTGACACCAGGATTTCGCGCAGTAGATTATTGGGTTCGCAAACTTATCTACTGCGCAGAATCCTGGTGTCAGTGATTGGTTTATGATCGTTGTTGGAACAGACTTTATAACGCCTGAAATTGAATTAAAAGTATTTCTTTGTTCGTATTTATAGTTATTAATATTTAAAAATTAATTATAACAATGTTTTTATAGCACTATCGATACAAAACGCTTATACTCTAGCTTCTAAAGTCAACCTTTTGGCTGCAAATCTGAATAGCGTGGAAAATGGAATGAGCGGAAGTGGTATATATGCTGCAGATGGAACTATAATCAGTTATTATCTTTCGGGAAAACCTGGAAGTAAGATGCAAATAGCAACAGTTAAAACTACACCTACAAGTGAAACTACAGTATTTGTAAGTAGAATAGAACTTGTTCCAGCTAGAAGAAACTTAGCTCATAAGTGTTTTCTTTTTCTAAAAATCTAAAATATTGAACTAAAGTGATAACAATAATTCATTATTTTACACATTACTTTGTTTTGGGACTTATAGTCCCGAAAACGGAAGTCTCCCCTTTGGCGCGAGTCTTGGACCTCAGTCCTCACTCGAGTCTCTTTCTTTTTGTCTAGTCTCTCTATATAAACTCAAAATTTACGTGATAGTAGTACTTGTTCCCTGTCAATATTTATTTTGTATTCATAAATATTTTTATAAATTTTTTCAACCGTTTTTTTATTGACTTTATTAATAAAATTTTACATTCTAGGATACGTATGGTTATGAACCTTTGAACAACACTATATCAACTTTAGACAACTTAAATACGAACAGATATTTTGATAGTGAAAAATACGTGTTCAAAAGATTAAACATCTCGCAACTGAATATCAAAGAAGAAGTTTGCCACAGATCTTTCTGCTGTGCTTTCAGTATTAATGTATCTTCGACTGCATTAAACGCTTCTGAAATATACCAGTAAGTATAGTTTTCAATTTTTATCTCTTTGTTTTGGACACTACTGATCATTCTAGTTAATCCTCACCTTTTTGGTTTTTATTACCTATATTTTTGCTCTGTTGGGGGTGATCAATTTAGATGTTATAGTAGAAGAATTGAGACACGAGGCCTTGTATAACTGCTGTTACTCTGGTTCTACTCCCCCTCCTCTACACTGTACTCTTACTGCGTATTATCAGATCATTTTTCAACACACCAGATGTAGTGGAAATATCTTGTATAACTTTGTTTTTTTTTGTTTGTTTAAATTACTTATAATTTTTTATAAATTCTATTAAATAAGAAATTTCCTATTAATTTTCTAAAACATTACGTTAGAATTTAGAACATCTAAAATTTTATTATCAATATTTTAATATTTTAGGATTATGGCTTATAGGGGTCCAGCAAGGATTGGCGAACTCAGGAATTTGAAATTTTGTTCTCTCGTGGCGTGCAAAAGTTCAGATTTAAATACTTGCGGTGACCGAAACATCAAACTAACTTCCAAACTTGAATCTGTGTTGGTTGAAACAAATGTGTTAGATGAGCGAGAAGGATTTTATTTACCTATCTCATTAACAGGGGATTTGGTTCCGGTGTTTAACACAAGTTACAACTCTACCGCTTATAAAGGCGCCAGAATATATAAATATTTGGCTTCTAATATAAAACAGGAAAATATTCTCGCGTTTGGGATCGTCGCAAATGATGGTATTACTTTAAGTTTTAACTCCATGTTAATTGTTGGTATTTTGGTTTTGAAACACTTGTTACGTTAGATTTTCAGGTGCTTGTTTTGTTACAATATTGTAATTGTATTTAACTTTTGTAAATAAATTAAATAATGAATTTCTGTTTGAAAAAATCATTCTTATTTTCGACATCAGCACCTTATAGGTTTATAGGCGTAAGTAAGTGCCGCGTCGTAAATAAGTTGGGAATATTTACAAACGGAGTTTTCGAGGAGACGTTTTCCCTCTTTTAATAGTTTGGTTTACCCTTTTACCGCAAATTTAAATAATCTTAAATGGTATCCTGTCCTTGTCTGAGTGGGCTCGTGATGACGATCAGCTCATTCTTGAATTACGTACTATCCGCGTTAGTTTTTCTTTTTCCAATTGTATTCTTTATTGTTTTTTCGTGCGAATCGCCAATTTAAGAAATCTTAAATAGCTTCATTACCCTGTCTAAACGGGCTCGTAATGACGATCAGCTCATTCTGGGATAATAGGCTACCCCGACTAAAAAAGCGATGATTCAAGGTTGGTTACGACAAAAGGTAATTCCCTTTTCTGAGGACATGGCTAAACCTAACCACAATTAAACAGCATCGAAACAGATATCGTCAGCATGAGTTTGTAACAGAGTTTAAATACTTAGGTTTTATAGTGCACATCACGACTATATTGTTAGGAAAATAGCAAAAAACTATACTTTTTTAGTAGAATTTCTATCCATCTTAGTACTGCTGCCAAAGTCACTGTATACAATACAATAATACAGCCACATTTCGATTTCTGCAGCACATTGCTCTATGATCCCAATATCCACTGAATGTCCAGTCCATGGTGGATATCTATTTAATATCCATGAAATGTAATTTTTAGACATGCAAATGTCCATACATAATAGTAATTATATAGCAAATTATTAAAAAATTACGCCATTGTGCTCGCCATTGTGGCTAATAGTACCGTTCAGATATTTAAAATTAATTTTTTTTAGGTGTTATTCAATATCCCATGGACATCCACTAAATATATCAAAGTCTAGGCACGAACACAAACCATCGTGGATATCCACTAGATCTTATTTGATTTTGCTTACTAAGTATAGATGGCGATACCACTTTCGCATCTACTCATGCTTGACCCGCCGTAATTGAGTTCGATCGAAATTTGTGTCATAATCAGACTCCATTAGAGACTGGAGTCGAGAATTTCCATTTATTGCTGAAGAGTCCTAATAAGGATGACTTTCTCCTTAGTGGGCAAAATCAAAGGCAGAGTGTTGAAAATATTTTGAGTGTTGAAAATATTTTTATCTCTGCTATTTTCTTTCGACGTTATTCAATAATCATTGGTTACTTATGAACCTCTACTTTTCTGAATATCCGAATATCTTCTATATCCTGAGATATAGACGGACATTTGGTTGGATATCCATATTGGATATATTAAATATCTACAAAATATATTCTGTGGATATCTCTGGGATTTCTTGTATTTTCTGGAAGATACCCATCAGATATTTTGCTGGATATCCATTAGGATATCTTCTATATTCTGGATATAGACGGACATTTGGATATCCATATTAGATCCACGGAATATTTCTGATATCCTGCGGATATATTGGATATCCACAAAAGATATTCTGTGGATATCTCTGGGATTTGGTGTGTTGTCTGGGTAATCATTCGATGAGTCACCATTTTTAAAAAGTGTTCGAGTTTTTTTTTATAGAAAATCAGAAGAGTATAATTTAGATATACCTATGTAGAACAAAAACAGGTAATCAAGAGCAAGTAAAAATGCTATTGAAGATACTAATTTAAGAGAAAAATAGTGAGGAAAAGTTGTATTTATCCCCAGGATTCCTTTGTTCTACCATATTTTGAGTTCAACCGTCTTCAATATCCTGTCAGATTTTGTTACCTTTTTATCAACAAAGTGAAAACAAGTACAATTAGATTGTTATCCATTGTTATCCAAAAAAGGATGTTTGCGTAAAAGTCGAACAAAAATATTACCTTGTATACAATTTATTTTTCTACATAGAATTAAATAATTCAAAAATGTGTCTTCGGTAACGGCAGGACGTGATCAAAAGTTACATACTTCATTCAGTATTAAAAATTATTTTTATTTAATTAACTATACAAACATAAATTAAAACAGTCATTGTTCCTTATTATTAAAGTCGGTTTCAAGTTTGCTACTGCAGCATTATCTTCTTCTACTTTACCCTAACAGACACTTTAAAAAGTAACATTGCTGGATGTCTCCAGATTATTACGCGAAAGCTGCATACCCGGTATATCTTCCGCTAAACTGTAACTTCGCAAAATTGGATCATTTTTCTTAATTTTCTCACTAACGACGACTATGTAATACAACGCAACAAGTATACCTAAAATACTTCCTGCTAGAACGTCCCACCAGTGATGTCGTCTATCAGTTATTCTAGATAGTGAACACACCAGAGACAATGTCAGAGCTATTGAGATCAAAAAAGGCTTCATAACATATCCAACGTTTATCGTTATTGTTCTGATATGAATAACAAACTGAAAATAAAAGAAAATGTTTAGTAATTTGACCAATAAAACGTTTCAATTACTTAAATTCAACTTAAGTTAAAACAAATTAAAATAGTCCAATATATTGTCATCCCTTTAGGCGTTGAAAAGTTATTCGAAACCTCCTTAAGGTTCTGACGTCAATGGTAACGAGATTTTGGATTTGTGAAGGGATTTTTAGAATTATCAGAAGGTTAAAAGGTTGAATTAGAGCCACAAGCCTTAGTACTCGAACAATATTGGAATAGTTCTACCCTATACAGGGTGGAATAAATTATAAGATTTAAATTATCCTAGATAGTGCATGTAAGGAAAAATAAGAAAATATATGTAGGTACTTACACATAAATATATACCCAAAAACCAAGAAACAGACGAATGACCTGAAGGAAAAGATAACGACGCATCAACTAAATCCAAATAACTAAATTTTGCAGTATTCGTACATTTGTAGGTTTCTATAAATTCTCCAATAGTACAATTGACGGCTGTATCAGGTTGGCACATATCGAAAAAATGCGGCCTATGTTCACCAACTATCACTTTAGCTATCGAAGTCAGCAGTAGTACTAACACAGCTCCAACTGTACATTCTTGCATATAAAAAACCACGGTATAGACATTGATTTTTTTGAACGATTGATGGGCCAGTAATTCGGTACTTGTGATTATTAAAAGTGGAACTAGGACTGCTAATACTCCCAGAGTTTCTGTGGTAATTGTATCTCCTTTGTATTTGTGTGATATTAATGGATCTCTACAATAAAATCCTTGTATCACAGATGGTATTACCCCACATTCTAAGAGAATTATTAGAACAACAACTGAAACAAAAAAATAAATCTATCAATTTTTAATATATTATGGTAACATGTAGTAAGTATTTTGAATGTTATGTTTTTATTAGCTGAATTTATATTATTATATATTAATGAAGATCGAAATTATCAGAGGGAAAAGAATAATTGTAAAAATTGATTTTAGGAAAGAAGATTTAAAAAATTAGACTGTAAAAGTTGAATTGAAATGTTTAATTTAGGAGAGCTTAAAGGAGCTGAAAATAAGAAAGTCAAAAAAGATGTATTTTGGAAAAAAAGAAGAGCAACTATAATGTAGAGGGCGGCAGAAAAAAGGTAAGCAGATAGGTTGAGTTTAGAAAGGAGATAGCACCAGGAAGACGAAAAGGCAAGAAGATATCGAAGACAAAGAATAGAGGGATATACGCTAGTTCGGTGTGATGTCATTTTGGTTCCACTGACATTTAATTCTAACCAAACTTTTAACAAAAACATCAATAAATTTGACGTATACGTTTTTACTGTTTTTAGTTTATTTCTAAATATTGTTTACAGGTCATAAAAAATAGTTTAAAGATATGTAATTGGTAACTAAACGATTGTAGATTTGATGCATGTTATCTACTTACTTTAGAAATACATTTATAAAAGTGAAGAAACGATATTATAATAAGAAATAATAATAATAATAACGTCTTTATTATTTCTATAAAAATACAAAACAAAATATAAAAATTTTATAATAAAACAAAATATAGAAATAATAGGCGAACTTCATCCTTTGTAACTGTTTGATCATTTACAAAGCATGTTCTACCACTTAACCCTTTATAATTTAGGTAAACAAAACGAACAAAACGCACTCAAAAAATCTACTGTCACTTTAATTGTCAGTGGAACCATAAATACATCATCACTGAACTAGCGTATTGCAAGTTCACTTAAGTCCAATGTCAACGTCGTAGTCAATGACAAGTGACGGCGACTTTTTATCACGAAAAATGCAACTCTGAACGATATTTTCAGAAATTATTTTTGAGAATGGGTTCAGAGTTCTGTAAAAAATGTTGCAAAGTCTATAGTTTGTATTACCTTCAATGCATTATATTTTAATGTGATATTTAACAAATATTTAAAAGTTATGGACTTTCCACCATTTGTTATAGTATTTAAAAGCTAAAACGCAAATAAATCCGATAGCACAATTTGCCCTGAACACTAATCTCTGCATCTTATCCCAACTAACAAAGTAGCTTTATAATTTTTAGTTTACAAGACTATTATATTTTATTGATATTATATTGCTGTTTCTGGAATGCTAATTTATTGTACTACAGTTGTAGAAATCACTATTTTGTTCTCTGAAACTAAATAGTTATATAAATTTGTTTTTACAATATTCTTACAGCAAAATTATAAAATAGTTTTCACGATAACTATGAAATTGTTACATAAACATTTATACAACTGTTCTATACAATATTTCAGCTTATAAAATAAAATTGCTTTATAGTTATTCTATATTATTGTTCTGGATTACCTTTAGAACTTTTTGGTCATACAAATATAACTGTTTCTTAACCTCATAATAATGCTTTAAAAAATAGTTATATAAATATTAGTGTGAGATAATTCCGCATCAATAGCAATTTGCTTCTGATGAAAACTCTAAAATAACTGTAATATATTGTCGAAATACACTATTACAAATCAAAAAAATGTATAGCAATTATTTTAGTTAAGAATAGTATAATCCCTTTAAAAATATTTATAAAAAAATAAAGCAACTACATTTGGTAGTACCTACGCCATATTATTTTTGTATTTTATGTTTGTTCAACTACTTCCCATACCAATTGTATGTGAGTGTATGGTCTGAAAATGTCAGATTTAAATAGTGAAGAAATATAAAAAATAAGTGGTACCTGCTTTTCAGAGAACAGTAAAAAATATTAGTAAAACATTTTGATGGTTTGTCTAGACACTCAAAAAAAAACTATCATTTAGCCAGATAATAATTAGGTATGTTCTGAATAATCATGCCCCAATACTAAAAGAAAGCCATATTTTTGGCGATGTCCATGTTAAAGGCATTTCTTTATAAGCTTACCAGAACATACTTCTGTAACCAGAGCATTTCTTTATAACGTTTGGTTACTCTGCTTTGGTTACATGTTACCAAAGCATATGTAGCTATATCTAACGAGGCATTTATTTATAAGCTTACTAGAACATACTATAATAAAAAATAACAAAGTCAAAACATCCTAAAATTTATAAAATTCAAATTCCGTTTAGAAATCCCCAAACTTAAATTAAATTTGACATATGACATTCAATAATAGGGAAACCATGGTATGCGTAATGTCACCACAGTAACCACAATACTGTAACCAAGTATGTTGTAGTAAGCTTATAAAGAAATGCCTTAAATTTGCTTATTCTCGTAATATTAAAAATTATGCTTGCTCTATAAAGCTGTAGAAACAAATCTAATCATTTCAATTCCCAAATACTTAAATCGAAAACGATTTAGTAAGGTTATGTTATATTTTGTCATATAGTGCAGCAATATGAAACTATTATACAACAAACCATGATGAACTTGTTTTGTAGAAATGAGTAATACAACTTAATTATTGTATTACAGCTGTTTTTACTACAATAATATTTTATAATTATGATTCAGTCTTAAAATAACTTTCTAATACCTCTGAATAGCCGCCATATTTAACACAAACCTAAGACAGTTTTAAAGCTAAATCTACTGTCGGTTTTACTAGTATTTAAGACAAAACCAATGTTAATTAAAGATTTTAATCATTAGTAATATTAGCATAATCTTATTACTAAAAAAAAATCAAATTGCATAAATTTAATTTTTGTTTCACACTGAAAAAGTATTAGAAATATGAATCAAACTCGAGGCGCTTAAAAATTTAGTGTTGTATGTGCTGTATAATTAACAGTAATTCTTGCTGCGCATCCAAAAACGACTTTATTGTAGGTCATAAATTATGTCTAAACCGCGTTATAGATATCTCTTAAGTAGATACTGCCATTTTACTAATATCGCCTTGAATTTACTTTTATGACAAATATAGAATTAATTTGTTTTCACCAGATACATTTAAAAAACTAAAATGTTACTGATTTTGATATGCAACCTAACCTCAAAATTGAAAATTTACAAAACAGTTATAAAAGTTTAAAAAAACATTTGTTTAAAGTTTGTGTAAATGTGTAGTAACTGTTCGGTAACTGCATTCAACAAATCTTATAGAATTTACAAAAGAACCAAATAGTTCTGTAATACTGCGCCCATTTTGTGTTTATTACTGTTGAAAGAATGTTCCGGAAATGTTCTTAGCTAATATTCTATTTTATAAATTTTGTTCTGTAAACATTTTTTCAGCTTTTATAAAATATCAAATTGTTACTTGGGTAGTATTAATTGAAACAAAAAGCCTCTAGCTGAACCTATTTTAGGGTGCGGCACTTGCGCCTGATTCTTTATATGTGTTGAAAAACAAACAAGTATTTATTCTGAGCTTAAAAAACTCGCGTCGGTCGTTTTTATTCTCCCTCCAAAATTAAAGTGACGATAATCTACATTTTTCCATTTCTCCTGTGAATGGGATGAATATAGGGACCGTGCGTCATGACTTTAACGCTAACTGGTGACAAAAATGTGAACTTTTTGGGGGGTATTTATTAATGTTTTATACGGCATTTATTGTTTAATAATTATTAATAAAATGAAGTCGAATTATTTTCGTAATATCAATATCGAAAAAACTTGTTGCATCCGTGGATGTACAAACACATCACTTTAGAAACCTGGATTTCATTCGATAGTAAAGAAATTTTATAAATTTCCACAGAGCACAATTATGCCTCACACCCAATGATATACATAATTACAAAGATTGCTTATCCATATGTAAATCAGACGACGAAAAGCGTATTTCACTGGGCAAAGTTTTCTTTTTATCTAGCTTGTATCAATTTTGAGCACTTAGTTGTAAAGAAATCATTTACAGAACCGGTTAAGAAATTAGAATCTTTAGTGTTTTCTTGTCATTAAGATTTTTACATATTTAATTGAACATTTTATATAAATATAATTTTACAGATAATGGTTTATTCTGTTGATTAAAACTAATGTAGAATGTTATGAAATAAGAATGTCCAATTTGACAAAAATATTACGGCCCTCTTTACAATTTATTAACTATTTCTCATTTATTATTAAAATAAACAAATCATAAATAATACATTGCAATTACTGTCAAAAGAGATTGTAACAAACTTTAAAATATTAAAAATCCAGTGATTTTTTGTAAATTTTTTTAGTGACATTACCATTAAACATTATTCAGAATAATAGATAAGTGTCCAATTACAACTCTTACCAAAAGTTGTTTATACCTCATATCAAAATTGTTTACATTACCTTTTCAAAATTGTATTACATATTGCAATTATGTATTTTATGTAGAATTGTTTCTGAAATAGTAGTCTAAAATTATTTATATCCATCTGTTATAAAAATTGTTTAGATCTCTTAATATTATTTAACTACATGAAAACTCAACTTTCCAAATACATACTGACATGTCTTGAAGTAAAACTTTAATTATTATCTTTTTCTAAATATTAGAATGCTGAAATTTTATTTTAAAACACATTTGGGCTAGAACGGCTCTATTTAGTGAGCACTAGGAAAGGCACATTGCAACCCGCTTTTCATAATTTTTTTATAGTTGGGTGAGCAATCTATAATATATGTATATGTATCATTGAACATCTCATAAACGCCAGTGGATGAATGACATTTCGATTAACATAAAGCTAAAAAGATTTATAATTATTATTATCAATCTTGTTTATTAATTTACATTTTTTAAACGTTATTGTAATACTTTTAAATTCAGTGTTACTAAATACCGATATTTTAACATTGGATACACTTGTTTAAGGTACAACTTTACAATTTATTGTCACTTATAGCCATTTAAATCTTTTTGCTTAAAATGTATGTGCATGTCCAGATTTTAATGATGTTTCACATTTTACGTCATTTTGATCATGTACACGATTGTTTGGTACGGGCCGGTATCTATTTTTAACTATATTTAATATTTAAAAAAATATCCTTCATTATTTACTTGCAATGTTTACCCCATTTAATTATAAAATTAAACACTAGAGAGGGCTAAGTTCGGCAGTAGTGCTGCCTCTATATTTCACGCACGGTCCCTATATGGAAATCAATCAACTCGATACTTTTAAGTTGATTCAAATACAGGGTTGGCTTTATATTTAACGGTATATGTTGGATATATTTCCAACACCAACTATTAACGAAAGGTGTAATGTACCTAAGTATATCAAAAGATGTGTATCTAACGAAAAATTGACCTATACGAACACTTTTTTGTTATCCGTCCAATAAAGGCAAAAACATACCGGGATGCCTACATATATTATGAAGGATTGTGAAAGAGTACACTTGTTTTATGCAATAAAAAAGTTACGAGTTACACATTTATTCGCTATGAAAACTCAAGCTACCCATATATTTATTTATTGAATACATTGAAAATATTACAGGAAATGGTTATCCTAAATAATGCCTTTTGATATCCTGAATACTAATGTGGAATAATCCAATTCCTGACTTATCTAATTATAATTATTAAACATATTATACAACGGCAAGTTCTTTAAAATATTAGTACGAGGTGTTGGTAAGTAAAATTAGTCAGTGTATCTTAAGGCTTGACGTGTAAATTATTTCTATGGCACCATTCATTAACTTGTTTTAGATTTTCAGAAAGTCGCTCACAGTCAGCAATACTATTTATGGAAGCATAAATTTTAAGGTCATCAGCATACAGTAGATAATTAACATTAATTACACTACCAATGTCAGTTATAAAAATATTAAACAAAAGCGGGCCAAGATTCGACCCTTGAGGGACACCCGATGTGGCAAGGTACTTAACAGACCCATTGAGCTGAACGTATTGTAAACAGTTACGCAAATAAGATTTTAGTAAGTCAATAAGAGTATCTGAGAGTCCAAAAGCAGTTTTTTTTACTAAAATTCCATGGTCAAGTCTGTTAAATGCTTTAGTCATATCTGTATAAATAACATTAGTCTGAATACGTTAATCGAAATTTTCTGCTATATGCTGAGTAATATATGAAAAGTATGTAGAATTACGCTCCCCTATGCAGTGTTTTATGGCCCAAAAATTTAAGATTTCATCTTAAGGGAAGTTTTCTTATTATTCCTAAAAATTGAAAGACAAAACAATATAAAAGAATCGTTTTTTTAGTTATATTTACAAAATCATTAAAAGTAGCTATTTTATCTACTGTAGTTTCTATTGTCTGCGATTTTATACAATAATTAAAAGCCTTTATTATTTTTTAAAACGTGGGGCCTAGCAGTTTTTATTGCCATTGTTAATAATGGCATCTTAAGTACTAAAGCAGGCTATATTTGAAATGTTTATATTAGAATTAAAATAAGAATAGAAATTTATATATTTTTTTTATTATCTTATCTTTTAATTAATAATAACAAAGTGTGTATCTGCAGAAATGCTTTTAGGGTGGGCAAAGGTTTAAATTTATGAACCTAACATTAAAACGTATTTAGTTAAATAAATAAGAATTCCAGTCCATAATGATCATTTAAACTTGTACCTAATAATTAGTTGAAACAAGATGTTTAAAACAGGAATTTATTGTTTGCAAACTTTAAAAATTCCCAAGGTGGATACTACTTCCCCCTCTTGTCCCGCACGTGAGAGCGCCTATGCACGAAAAAACTAAAGGATGATGATATCAACACAGCTTATTGTATAAGCTGTGATATCGGGACCATCACTTACATAAGACAAAGTTTAGTAAAGTTCATTATTATTCTTAGCTATGCTAAACTAAAAGAAACTATTTTTATTATTAGGAAAAATGAGCTATTGTCAAATTATTGACTGTTGTGAAAATAATAACTTTAAATGTCAAAATTAGTCAAATGTTTTTCTTAGCTCTCCTTACTTTAATATTCGGTTTTAATTAAAAAAAAATAAATAACTACAAATTCTTATTTGTTCATAGAAAACCAACCTTATTTAATACATATGATTGTACTTACCAAAAATACTTATTAAAACATTTAACAAATGCGCTAAACTTATTTGTATTCCATACAATGTAGCTAATATTTTCTTCTGAGGGTTTTCATATGAAGTTGGTTCTTCTATACCCAATACTGAAAGTATAATACCCATTCTACTTATTGGATGACTAGTTACTTTAATTGTGTAATATAATTCTATGCTCCATGAATCTCATTTTCAATCCTTAATATATTTAAAATTGTAATGCATCTGTAAACAGAATAATTTTAATAATAATCGTTATATTATTTCATACACTATCAAAGAGGATGTGAATTTTTTAAGATAACGTTCAATATAAAGGTAAGTTTACAGTAGAAATAATGTTGTTAAACAAGTCTTAAAAACATAATTGTTATCTTATCTGTTCTATAGAAAGGTGAATAAATTTACTCAAATTAAACAGTCACAAAACTAAGAAACACCCATCTAATTAATTAATAGAATAATTTCTATTTATTCGTGCCTGTGTTTTAAAAACCGCTTTTGCCAATAATTTATGACGAGTACCTAGTATTTCCACATTTATTTTGTACTAAATGTTTCCTTTTTATCTCCTTCCAATTTCGCAGATTTTTTGCTATCTAATTATTCATTGTCGACATGTCGACACCTACTTTGCAATATATTTTAATACGTCTATAAAGTATACAATGACAATCTACTAGTTTACTTATAGAAAACTGATTCATTTTTAGTTTTAGGAGAAACAGTTATTCTTCGTAAAAACTGAATAGTCTAAAACCTCGAAATAAAACAATTATACTTGCAAATTGATTAGTTGTTGTCAATAAATATGAATTTGGTATGATAAGTCCACATCGAATAAAATTTTACTAGATTTACTTCCTAAGAATCGACATCAGAGAAGAACCAATGTTTTTTTTGTACTATTCTACTAAAATGTATTTCAAATAAAGTTTCTACATAAACAAAATAGAAATTAATTTTCGATAGCCCGTCTCTGGAAACAGGGGTTGGATGGCATCTCTATCGACCCAAAAGTCTCCGATGCGGTGGTCTAGACCGCACCGACAAATTTATTATTGTGTTGCTTATACTGGCACCATTGAATTTAAATCGCCCACAATTTTTGCTTACATGTCCTACGCGACAGACTCTCATTTCCGCATGAATAATAATTAATGATTGATTAAATTAGAACCATTCGGATTTCGCACGGATTTTTGATTTCGCATTCTGAAGCTTTATTAATAATTATTGTCAATTTTGTTTTTGAGTTTTATTAATATTGGAACACTGCAATTTGGCGAATGTGAGGATATTCTGATATAAAATTGTATTTATATGCAAACTGGGAATACTTCGCAATGTGTCTCGAGAATATTAAGAGCTTTAAATTTGTATAACGATAAAAAATTTCAAAATAAATACTTTTCGAAGGCTTACAAAAAATTGAAGTTTTCTTCATCCTAAGTTTTGTTATTGTTGGTGTTTCCTGAAAATTTCACAAAAATAGAACTAAAGGTTTAGAAGGAATTACAAAATTTTAAGGTGTTTGATATGCTCTTAATAAGTGTAACCTTTGGTAAACTACTTTTACTGACCCAATTATTTGGCATCCCATACAACACACATTATTTCAAAAGTGTTTCAGAAATATTTCAATCATATAACATTACAAGCACAAGTTTCTGAAATATTTCTGAAATATTTTAGTTAAATATTTCAATGAAAATGTTTCTGAAACATGGTATACATGTTACACAAAAGATTACTAAACGGGTTATGTTGTAAAAGGCCAACAATTAATGAATAATTTCTAATTTGTAAGAAGAAGATGGAATATGTTATTTTATTTCATCCTATGTCCATGTCCAGTCACAAGCTAGAAAAAAGTCTGTATAGTAATGTTTGTTTATTTTAAACAACAGTTTATTTATTAATAATTTATTTAAACACTTATTTATTTTAGAACAATACTATTTCAATTTATATATTTTGAAAGTCTTTAAACTGTTCACTATGTATCTTCACTGTCTGTATATAATTGACTGGCGCGTTGTTTCTCCACCAATATTTATATACACATTTAAAACTTTGGCGAAGGTACTAGAATTTTCACCAATTCTCACCAATACTAGAAACATTATCACGTTGACTCTGGAAAGTACTCGAAAAGCGCCTCCGCCATAGTCGTCACATATGTTTGGTCTTAAGGGGTTTAATTATGTATGATAATCGGAAAAGTTGAGCCTCAAAGGCCAAATAAGACAGAAAGGGACTTGGAGGATTAGAGCATGACTGAATAATGAAATAGCTTGCATTACAGTATTCTAAATAATTATAGATTTGAGTTGTCGGTTTTTGATATTTGTGCGTTGTGATGTTGTTACATGGTAAGCAGACTATATCTTTAGAAATTGAGATAAGTACTACAATAAAACTATTGCTATATACTCTGATAGCCAAGCAGCTCTAAAGGCGATTCTCTCACCAGAAATCAAATCACGACTGGTGAAAGACTGTCTAGAAGACCTGACAGAGGTAAGTAGTCAAAATAAGGTGACCTTAGCCTGGGTTACAGGCCATGAGGGATATCATGGCAATGAAAAGGCCGATGAATTAACCCGAGAAGGCTCAGATAAGGCCATGACAGGCCCCGAACCCTTCTGTGGAGTTGCTAAGGCATTGTGCAAGGTATCCATTAAACAATTGATGCAAAAAGAGTCTCAGGAATGGTAGAATAACTATCCAAGACTGAGACAGGAAAAACAGTTCATCAAGGAACCATCAGCCAAGTTCACGAAAGACCTACTGAATCAAAAGCGTCAAATCGTTAAGATAACAGTAGGCCCTCTTACTGGACACTGTCGCCTCAAAAGGCACATGAGTGTCATAAATCCAGCAGAAGAAGCTACTTTGTGCAGGTTCTGTGAAGAAAAAGAAGAAGAGGAAAGAAACATCATTCCACGTCCTGTGCCAATGTGAAGACCTGGCTGGAATGAAGTTTCTAACATTAGGCGAAGAAAAGCCAATTGCATGCAACTACATGCGGGAGCCACTGTCAAAGCTACTAAGTCTAATAAAAAGGACCAAGCTAAACGACATACTCTAAAACAAACGAAGTCCCACAATAGATCTGAAAAGGTCGCGGTGAACATGGACAAATAACGTCCAACTCCTAATCTAATCTACATAAATAATGCTTGCTTAGGTGGAGCTTCATGTTTCCTTTAGGCATGATTATTGTGTTATTATAGTTAATTTAAAACAATATTAATACAACTATTGTTAATCAAATAAATTGTATAAATTCTTTTTAATTACCTATAATTTGTTTTAGATTAGTACATTTAAAGGAATTAGTGGAAATGAAGCAATTTGCCAGGTTTAAGGCTGTGCCAGTAAAAGTAGCATCCAAGTTATTCAACGTTTCCAGAATAACGTATTAAGGAACATCGTCGATGCATCCTGGTACTACCGCAATATTGATCTTCATAGGGACCCTAAAGTGAAGACTGTTGAAAATACAATACAAACATATGCCAGTAGTCACCAACAACGACTGCTTCAAAATGGAAACCTTGAGGTTATACAGCTCCTCAACAATGCAAATACAATAAGATTCAAGAGAACCAGACCTTTTGAATTAGTTCAGTGATGTTAGATTAAAGCTGAGTATAGTGTTATACGTTAATGGTAGTGTAATCAAATAATTAGACTCTAAAGTCTAAGGTACACTAGTGAGTAGAATCTAACAGCCGTATGCATAGTCGATCGCTAGCGACTCGCCAGAGATTCATTTCGGCGTATCGCCAGCGATTCGCTGGCGATCCGCCAGCGAAAGCCCAAAAAGCTGGCGACTCGCCGGAGATTGTCACCGGAATGTCATTTCACGCAAGTTTTTATGTTCTTTTATAGGGAAAAATTTGATATTCGTTCAATATTTTTTGAGTTTTAAGAAATGAATCATGAATAAAATGCGAGAGATACCGGTGATAATCCCTATAAAAGAAAATAAAAACTTGCGTGAAATGACATTCCGGTGACAATCTTCGGCGAGTCGCCACCTTCTTGGGCTTTCGCCGGCGGATCGCCAGCGAATCGCTGGCGATACGCCGAAATGAATCTCTGGCGAGTCGCTGGCGATCGACTATGCATACAGCTGTTAGTTTATGAAGTTTTTCATTACTATATAAATTAGGTAAAAATAAAATTGCTAATTGATCTTAATGATTAGATTGTAATATCGTAAATGTTTCTTTACTTGGGGCATTTATTAAAAAAAAAACCTAGTTGTTTCAGATTAGTGCATTTAAAGGAATTGGTGGAAATGAAGCAATTCGCTTATATATTTTATGAGATATTGTTTAAAAATTATTTATTTATTTGTTTGTTTAAGAATCAATGCTAGTGTTTTGTATATTTTAAATAAACATGTATATTTTTAAATGTCTTTTTTTTAGTTTAATAATATTTTAGAAAAAAAAAACTAGAATACATTTCTGAAATATTACCATTTAATATTTCTAACAGATTACAAATTTTTATTTCAGAAATATTACTGGGAAATATTGTACTTACAGGACATTTTTACGTTTCAGGCAAATTTCAGAAATGTTTCTGGGATGTTTCATAATATTTTTTATTGATTAAAAGCTCGTCAATGCTACTAAATAAAAATAAAAAAAAAAGAAAATCGGTGCTGAAATCTTTTGTCTTATACAAGGTGTCAATTTGAAAATGAATAGCATTTAAAATTGTGTCTACCAATGATAGTATGAAAATTTGGCGAAATGCCTCAATTTACATATTAAAAGGGGAACAATTGTTGAAGCCACTAACCTCCAGGGCTTCTACCCCTTAAAATTTTAAATGTTATCCCCTATTTCTTTTACCATTTTTGTGTTCCTTATGTAATTCTGGATAAATTGCATTATTATTTTTTTGTCAAAATTGAGGTACCTTACCTTATAAAAGTATAAGGGGAAATTAAGGCTTAATAATTCGATTAAATGGCTAAATGACTTCGGCCCGACTGTCGGCCGTAGTGACCTATATTTGCCGGCCTTTTAATTATAAAAGTTAAATGACCATCATTATAATTGGAGAGTAACAGTTATTGGGCTTTTTATTTTTTTACACAAAATGTTTGTTAGGATGGAATCCAACACATAACTTTTATAGTCGTGCTATTGAAAATGTGCAGAGGAAATTTGAAAATCAATAAAGATCCAGATTCTAAAAGAGCTTGTTAATTTTCTCTGGATGGTAATATACGAGGGTGGATCAAAAAGTGCCCGTGTTAGAAAGAGGCAAGTTTTTCAAAAAAAAAAATTTTATTTTTCAACGTAATCTGCTTTTAGTCCTATACACTTTTTCCAACGTTTCTACCTTTTATTTTACCCCTCCAAAAAATATGATTTCTCAAACTCCGCAAAATACGCTTCAGTCTCGACGATAACTTCCTCGTTAGAACTGAATTTTTTTCCCCCGAACCACGTTTTCATATTGGGGAATAGAAAAAAGTCGCATGGAGCCAAGTCGGGCGAGTACGGTGGGTGCGGCAGCAATTCGTACTGCAGTTCTTGCAATTTGACCGCGACAATTCTCGATGAATGTGCTGGTGCGTTATCGTCTTAGCCAAATGAGGCCGTGTCTCCTTCAATTTTGCATCGAATCGGTCCAATAATTCACTATAGTACTGCCCTGTGATCGTACTTCCTTTCTGCAAAAAGTCGATGAGGATTTTTATTCCATACAAAATTTTTCTAAAATGGACCGTATACGAGATATTTGAGAAAATGTGTAACTTTCGAATTTTGAAGAAAACTCAAAAACGGATAAAGAAAAAATCAATAAATTTTAAACTTAAATTTTATTTCGGCCTGACGTGAAATGATTAGATTTTGGACAAAGTCGGAACATCTAGGGAGGTACTTTATGGGAGGCCGTTTTAATATTTTATAGAGGTACTACAATAGGTTGTACAAAATAACCGAAAAAAGCCTATAATAACTAGATAGGAAAGTCATGTGTTGGACACATCAGATTTTTTCTTAAACGTTCATTTTCATCACTACTATCACTAACCTGTTCTTAATTTTACACGATGATGCACAAAAATGTAATGATATGAATACGTAGGCAAGTAACGTATCGGCTGATAAGAAAGTGTTTTTTGTCTAATGTTTCGGTGATTCATTCTTTAAAATTGTGCGCAGTGAAGTGTAATAATGTAAAAATGGTACTACCTGTGTAATATCTATTTGGACGAGTACACGAATTATAATCTGGCCTATCTATCCATCATCCATAAAACTTGTTCAACATCTCCAAGGTTAATTTTTCATTGAATTTCATTCAATTTCGTTTTTATATTTAAGTGAAATTATGGGAAAATGTTATGCTGGTCATAGCTCGTATTTCTTTTTCGTTTCCAGTTTCTCGAATGGAGGTCAAAAATCCGTGTGCGTCAGCATCCCCCGGATCCTGCTCTGCAGCGGCAACGGCTAGTCTCATGCGCGTACGCCGAACCTGACAGTATGGAGTAATCCCAGTTTGCAGTGCTGTGAAATTCACCCAAATAACGAGTATGTCCTAAAAATCGGTTCGCTGGCACTTTCGCTGCACGCAATACCCCGCAGAATTGGAAGGTCGTCATATCAGTCTTGGGGTGCAAATTGGGACAGTAAAAAGTTGGCGCGCAATGTAGCGCGATGCACGTGCATCCCTTATCAATCATGACACGAAATTTTTATACACGCACGGTGAGTATTGCTTGCCCTAGGACTTTTCTTAGATAAAAAAAAAAAAATAAAACGATTTGGCCTTGTGAAAGTAAAAGTATAGAACATATAATTAAGTTTTCTACTTAGGATATAAATTGGATCGAACAAAGCTGATACTATACGAACGTTTTTCCCAATATATTACAATACATTGGGTATTTTTAAATTAAATATGAAGCACTACCTATTAGTAAAGGACTGCAAACTTTTTAAATGTGGGTAAATCCCATCAAATTGTCTTAATTTTGGATGTTGCTAGAATTATGATACTTAATCAAAGTGTCCATGGGCCATACTTCTTTTTTTGGCCAATTTTCGTTATGCATGGTATTAAAAATTAGACTTTAGAAAGTTGTTATAAACATTTTTTTGATTATATTTAAAAAATATCGTATTTGTATCCTTAGATGACAAATACTTTTAGGAATTGCCACAGACAATCATATCGTAGTTATTTGCTTACACAGACTTACAATAACAATTAAAAAAAACTTTTTTTTTTATTTTAAATTACCTACTACCCTTCATCGTTATTATTCCATAAACAAAAAAATGTTTTACATAAAAGTTGTGTCGTTATGACTGAATTTTTTAAATAACCTTTTTTCCTGATATTTATTAAAGGCGTAGATAAGGGGGGGGGGTAATTACCCCCCCCCCCCCCCCAAGCCATAGTCAACATCAATATTTTTTTAAATGTTATATTAAACAAAAATAGAGAGATAAAATAAATACAATAAAACAAAGAGTTTCTCAAACATTATCATCTAAAATAATAATATTCCTGCAAATTTAAAATTAAAATTTATGTACAGGGTCCCATTAGTTCGCAATTGTTCAATATTTCAATTAGTTATATTAAGTTTTTTTTTTATTTGTAATTAATTGTACCTATAATTCGAATAATTCTATTACTGATTTTAAAATAATTACAAATATGCACAGTTGATCTTGCATCATAATCTCAAAAAGTATCTATGAAAACATGTGTTTGGCCTATAAAGTGGTCAAATAAGGTTTCCAGCGCCCAGTTGTCAACGCATGTTGACATGCAGTTTTAATAATAATAATACTCTCCCTAATTCACCTCCTTACGAGTAAATTTCAACCCCTGAAGTCGACTGAACGACTTGTTTAGAGGAAGCGACGGCTATTATTATTATTTGCTTCATATCTCTTCTGTGCGTTGACTATAACAACAACAACAACAACAACAACAACAACAACAACAACAACAACAACAACAACAACAACAACAACAACAACAACAACAACAACAACAACAACAACAACAACAACAACAACAACAACAACAACAACAACACCAACAACACCAACAACAACAACAACAACAACAACAACAACAAACAACGACAACAACAACAACAACAACAACAACAACAACAACAACAACAACAACAACAACAACAACAACAACAACAACAACAACAGAAACATATTATAAATTTTTAGGGCCTAATGGCATGTAGATAAAAATGTATTTAAATCAAAAAATGATTTAAATCTTACTGATAAGTGACAGCTCTACTTATAATGAATAATCCTAATATTATACCTACCTATTTCTTTTATTCTTTTGATACTTTTAATATTTTTCCTAACATTTTGATGTTAATTTAATAATTCTATAAGAAGTAATTAAATCACACTTACCTTGCCCCCAAAATGTCCAATTGATATTGTATCAACCTGTATACACCTCCTTTTGCAGCATACGAAGTACAATGGTACCAATAATCATCACAAACTGTAGTAAAAAAACTCCGAATGCAGTAAACACTAAATGTAGACATGATTATCTCAGCTAAGAAACAACAATAATTGTTTAATTAAATTATTTATATTGTACGTAATTAACCTTCTGTTCCTAAAATAGAAGTACGAGGGCTATACGATAGGTGTAAGTAAACATTTTAATTTTTAGATTTTAATAACTATACATATTATTCAACGATTTTGTCCCTATAGTACTACGCTTGATTGTACTTTCTTTTGTAGCTTTTTCTGAAATCGCAAATATCTTTCACATTAACCACTTTTTCTTGGAGTGTTCAAATAACTTGTCTATTCAGTTTATTATTTCATTTATTTTATATAATTCCTATAATTTGGTTTATATAATGTATTAAAATTTTAAAGAAAATCAGATAATTGTAGAAAATTTATAATAAAATTATCTCTTATCTAAATAATATTTATAACCCAGTTAAGTTAGGGTCAACAACTAAATATGAGGAAAAACTTTTCTCTTAAAGCTAGTCTACACAAATGTATAACTAAATTTAAAAGCACAATGGTTGTAGTTGAATTTTAGTCAATTTTCGAAGTTCCTGCAAGAGATAAAATAGCGAACTACATATGAAAGTTTTATCAATTTGAAAGTCAATTTTAGAAAGTTTTTAATGCGTTTAGTTTTCGAGAAACTTTTTGAATAAGTTAAATTAGAATATTTCATTATAATGCTTTTCCATTTAGTTAAAAAAATGTTTTATGTTTTATAAAACTTTTTGAAACGTAGAAAATTTTATAAACAGAATGCACATTTCTGGTGATATTCCATAAAAAAATACCTCAAGGTTTCCTGGGTTTGAAGAATAATAATTACTTGGTTTTTGGATTTTAGTAATTTTAACGTTTTAGTTCCCACTTTAATCGAAGGTTTTCAGTCAAAGAAAGATGGTTACTTTTTAACTAAAAACTTTAATAGACGACAAATCCCTAATACTCAATAGAACAACGCGTCATACGCAATAGAAACTGTTCTAAAAAATAACATTTTGAAAAGAAATACAATGGCGTTTGCAAAAATTGTAGAAAACGAAGACATTGATTGGCTTGTCCATAAGATATAAACCAAGGGTAACTCCTGAAAGGGGACCATGTCCCCTCCGAGATTAAAATTATTGCAATCCAAGAACTATTTATAAAAAAAATATGCTAAAAATGGTTAATGGCACTGGCCCCCCTACAAAAATTCCTCCCTTGATATAAACGACATGCAAATTACGAATGAGTAGAGAAGCATTCTTGATGCAATTGTTTGTCTTCAATGTTGTTTATAAACTTCTCAATAAGTTGTTCTTAATCCTTTTTATTATTGCCATATGGTCGGTATAACAGATTTCTGAGACCATCATTAATTCTTTCATTGCCATATTTCGTTTTAACATTTAGAAAACATTATCTGAATCGTTAACCCAACACGAATTGCAAAACATAAATAATAAACTTGTATAAGCTTTTATACTCATTTCACTTCATCTGAGTACCTATGGCCTTATTTATTTATTTTTCTCTAACTGAAGTTTTGTCCTAATTTCTATCAGAACGTCGAGCTAAAATCAATCGATATCAGAATAATAGGTATAATATTCCGCGAAAACAAAATTTAAAAAACTGTTTTAGCCGATAATGGAATAAAACGCCAACGTTGAACACAAAACAAATAAAATATACATGATGTCCTACTAAAAATTAGATCATTTATTAATTATCGAAAGTTTAATAATTATATCACTCACAAATTAGTAATTTTTTATACTTTTAGTTGATTAATATACCTATATCCTTAATTTGAAAGTATGTATTTTTAAAAGCCCATTTTTTCGGTTTTTTCCACAATAGAACAATTAAATAATGAATTAACTCCTTAATTCTGTTTAATTCCCGCAATCCAGCTGTCAGTTGTCACATCTAACCGGAAAAACCATACATTGACATGATGGATTGGTGTTGCATCGATTGCAGCAAGGTTGGATAAAAAGACAGCGCTGTTAATCATTGATAGATTGATGAAAAAAAAAGACACCGCACCGATGCCAACGTTGCTGCATCATAAAAAGACACACGTTATGCTTTATGCATACGTTTCTAAATCTTCCTTTACTCAAAATAACGTCAATCGTTAATATATCCAAGTAGAGGCTTTAGTTCCAATAAAATAACATTACTTATACTCGTATTTTTCCTAAAACATTCTGTAGTTTTATATATGCATAAATAACAAATCATTTATGTACTAACTTTTCTTAAAAAAATTCTTAATGTTTCAGGTGGCCGGACCAAACGGAGAAATCTTCGTTACGCAGAAAACGGAATATCTAGGACAAGTACTAGCCTCACTCGCTGTCTCTCTCGGACCATTAACAGCAGGATTAGGAAAAGGATACAGTTCTCCAGCCATTGCATCTCTTCAACAAAGCGACGCCGACGCATTCCCAGTCAGTGGCCAGCAAGCTTCCTGGTTGGCATCTCTGTCCCTCCTCGGAGCATTATTTGGAGCGCCCATTGGAGGTATAGCGGTACGTTGGGGAAGACGTAGAACTTTAGTTTTAGCAGGAGTACCTCTTTCTTTCTGCTGGATATTAACGCTCTTTGCTGTAAGTGTTGAAATAATGTGTTTTTCGGCCTTCATTAGCGGATTCTTGGTGGCAATAGTTCAATTAAGCGCACAAGTATACGTAAGTGAAATAGCTGCGCCTTCAATACGAGGAGGTTTAAGCGCACTTCTCAAAATTGCTGGTCATACTGGAGTATTAGTTTCGTTCGTAGGTGGAGCGTTTTTGAACTGGAGGCAATTAGCTGGATTCATATCTCTTGTTCCAGCTCTTATGTGCATAATACTAATTAATGTTCCAGAAAGTCCAGGTTGGTTGGTTTTACGTGGACGAGACCAAGAGGCTGAAAAAGCTCTTCGTTGGCTTCGAGGAGATACTGCAGATTTACAACTGGAACTTGCCCTTCTCCAAGCTCACGTTCTTACTAGGCCTATACAAAAAGATCCAGTAACTCTTTTCCAAAGTTTAAAAAGTCCAGTTTTTATAGCTTGCGGCCTAATGTTTTTTCAACGATTTTCTGGAGCGAATGCCTTTTACTTCTACGTAGTGAGCGTTTTCAAAGAAACATTTGGAAATACTAATCCGCATACCGCTGCCGTAGCTGTGGCAGTAGTTCAACTACTGTCGTCGCTATTGTCGGGTTTGTTAGTAGATTCTGCAGGTCGGCTGCCACTTTTGGTAGCCTCTAGCGTTCTTATGACTATGGCCTTGGCCTCATTTGGCTCTTTTGCTTATTATGAAGAAATACATCCAAAATTAAATCCTAATTTGGACTGGATCCCGCTCCTTTGCGTTCTGGTTTTTACAGTCGCATTTTCTTTGGGAATAAGTCCGATCAGTTTACTTTTGGTGAGTGAATTGTTTTCTTTGGAACATCGAGGATTTGGCACCGCACTCGCAACAGGATTCAGTTATTTCTGTGCATTTGTTGGCGTCAAAACCTTTGTAGATTTTCAAGAATGGTTGGGACTGTATGGCGCATTTTGGCTGTACGCTTTCATATCAATTTGTGGGCTGTGTTTCATAGTATGTTGCGTACCGGAGACCAAGGGAAGGGATTTAACGGAAATTGATACAGGCAGGTGATCCAACGCCATGAGACAAATGCATAAAGTCTCTATAAGTGTTGTTGAAAGGTACTGCTAGCATTTTTTATGACCATATCAACGATTTTAAGTACTATAACTTCATTAAAGCTTAATAAGCTTTAAATTCATATCTATAAAAAGAAACCTTCTTATATCATTTTAATAATAGTTAGGAATATTTTTATCATATGTTTTAAAGATCTCAGGAAAATTTTTAGACTGTTATTCTCATTTTTGCACATAAGTTTTGTAGGTTGATGCATTTCGAACTACAAATGATTGCTCAAAAATATAGATGTAAACCGTTAACTTAACAGGGGTTAAAGATGAAGCCAAAATTTTAGAACTATTTTCTATTCGTGTCCAAATAATTAAGACATCAAAATAGTTTAATTAAAATAACTTCAATTGAGCTAAAATAGCAGGATTACTCTTTAAACCCATTTAAGTTTTCATTTTAATTAGGTGTGCCCTCTAGGTAATAAAATGCCGGTTGATCCTCTGTAATGCTTTCTTATAGGCTTTTCGAAATAAGGGTTTAAAGTTTTATTACTGAATCCGAAGAATGAACGCCGGCACTAAGATGTTTATACATTTTTAAGGACAAACTTACGAGTGGAATATTCTCAACAGATAAATAATATTAGTTGTGATTCCTGAAAAATTAATCATAAAGAAATATTATGTATTAGGAAAATACTGTAAGATCCACTTTACAGTTTGCAATTTTCCTTGCTTTTAAGGAATATGGCTGAAATAAGCGCTGTCAATCACTTTAAAAATCTATAGAGTATATATTTCTGACATTCGAAATGTTTTGTGCTCGGAAACAAACAAACAAACAAACAAACAAACAAACAAACAAACAAACAAACAAACAAACAAACAAACAAACAAACAAACAAACAAACAAACAAACAAACAAACAAACAAACAAACAAACAAACAAACAAACAAACAAACAAACAAACAAACAAACAAACAAACAAACAAACAAACAAACAAACAAACAAACAAACAAACAAAACAAAACTGATAAACATTTAAATTTAAAATATACTCGGTTTTCCTGAATATCAAGAAAACCACATGAACTAACTCTAGTACCACTACTTATAAAAATCATAAAACATTTCTAGAAAATCTCTCTTTGGTCATAAAAAATTTAATGATGTCAGTAAAATTATTAACAGATTTGGTTTCGTTTAGTTTAATACGTTATCTTTTGGTCCAGTTATTTATTTAACTGATAATTGCAGTTTACTTGCAGCCTCTTTAGGATCTTTATCTAAGACTACGATTTGGAGTATCATCTGCAAATGTAGCTATAGTGTCTTGTTCTGGTTAGGTTATAATACAAGTGTATAATAGAATCAAAGTGGGTCGCAGAACGCTTCCCTGTGGTACTCCTACTTTGATTTATTTCAATTCAGAGTATGCCTTGTTTTTCTCTAAATAATCTATCTGAAATGTATGAATCCAGTAGCTCTGAGTATGGTTATGGAAGTACCACATTCATTTTATGTTTTAAGTCATCATGCCATACTTTATCATAAGCCTGCAGATCATTACTTTAATTGGTATATGCTGTTTCTCCTCCTGTTAAAGCATTATATATTCTGGTTCTTCTGAAACGTTAAGTTTAACATTATTGTCGTTGATGACTATAACTTGGGTTGGGAGTTTGGGGTTTCTTTCACCATACTATGGAGTTTATTAAAGTTTTGACCATTATTCACTATGATAGGTCTTAATTTTTACAGCTTTTTTCAATTGTAGTGCTGTCATTTTGTTGCTGTGGTCTTTGTGGAGGTGTCAATGAGGTATCCATTTTTTTTTCTGTTTTTCGCGCGAATTCTTTAACTAAGTTGGTGTACCAGGTTAGTGATTTAACTTAGTGACCTTTTCTGCAATGAATTACGAAGTGTAACACTTTTTTCATTACCGAAAACTGCGGACTATAAAGTGGTTCAAAATAAGTATTTAACTTCAAAATATGTGACCAATAAGATAAAAAATTACTTATTTGAGAATAATCCACAGTAAAAGTTGGTTCCCGTAAAATAAAAGCGCCCTGTACATATATAAATATATAAACCTTTAGAAAACTGTGATTAAAATATATTTTCCAGTAGTGCCATATTTGCTTATATCGAAGTGGTCTTTTTCCAATCTTGTGATATACATATTTAAGGTATCCGCTGTTAAATCCTAAAAAACACATTTTATGTCTTGGAAAAAGAGCTTTATTAATCAAATACCTATATCAATCCGGTCTCTATAGCTAAGCGATAATCATAAAATATCGTTAAAAGGTTTCTTAGAGGTAAATGGTTATTATATTAATTAAAATCCCTTTTAGAAGATCTACAAGAGTGTGCAGCCTATATTTTTATTTTGGTTAAATATTTTTTACTGAAAAATGGATTCGAGATGTTTTTTCTACATTACTATGGTCATTGATTTTATGTTTTGTGTAGGCTTTATGACTGCGCCACTTTAAAAGCAACACAGTTTATTTAGAACTTTAGAAATCAACAATGAATGGCAGACTTAGGTATTAACCACTAGCGACAGCTTTGATATCGTAGTGGTTAGAGTTTTATTGACAACTCACGTGTTTTCTCGCTTATTTCTACACTGAGAAAAATGACTGGGAAATAAATTGTTCCTTTGTGTGTGTGTTAACAGAAATATATTAAAATATGCTCTACAAACAATCAACAACCACTATTGGTTGATTAATAATTAACACAGATCGATTTGAGACGTATTTGCCGCTTATTTACGGACATGCGTAGAAAAATGTAGGCCCCTCATAAACAATATAAGTGATTTAAGTGATATATTGACTTAGACTGTCATCTTTTGGTGAGGAGAAATACTATGTGAAGAATTCCTACAGTTTGGTGAGAGCAAAATCGGTACAAGCGTCACTTGTATCCTTTTTATTTCAAAATGCACTTATGGTCCTTTTATTCTAAAACCCTTAATTGTTGTTACTGTATTATAACTTATACTGAGACATTGCTCACAAGTTTCATGCTCTAATCCTAACCACTAATCCATCTATACCACGTATTACATGCATAATGTTTGTAACGTTCAAATATATAAAGATGAAAATTGATGTTTATTCGTGTCAGTAGCACATCCAGATTTTAAGTCTGGGGGTGGGTAGTGGTAATATTTAAGCCTTTATTTCTGATTAATACATTTTTAGCACCTATAAAAGGTTAGGTTTAAATATCCCAAAGCTACGAAAATTAATGTTACAAGCTAGGCTGGACAATACTCTTTCGAGTTACATTATGATGGCGTTAAATAATTTTCTATTACAGAAGCCATGTGAAATTGAAATTAAAATAATCATGAGTGGATCGCTTGGTATGAATCTTAGGCAATGGAAGATCTTAATCAATGACAGTAATAATTCCTTAGACTTGGGTATGATTACTTCTATGATTGAAGTATTTGATATTGTAAATTATTAGTATCAAAGTTTTAAATTAAAGAACGATAATAAAATTAATCAAAATAGTATTAAAAACCAAGGTAGAACCAAAGACTACGTAGAACCCTATAATACAACTGAAATTTTATAGGATTTATTGAAGTTTTTCTTTTGTGACTAAATTTTTGCAATGACTAAATTATTTGAATTGCCATCTATATGAAAACTTGTAAATATAATGATCTTTTACCATTTCTAAGAAACCATTTAACAAAATTTCACTAGAAATCCTCAAAAAATGAGATTTTCAATTTACCTCTCCCAGACTGGAACCGGAACATATTGTTTTAAACATATCTCATATATTTAAAAAAAAAATCAAAGGACCGACAAATATATTATAAAATTGTTTTCTTTTAAGATAATTTCTTTATATCGAATATCAAAAACAGAGTTAATTCTTCAAATTATTATAGCTAAGTAGTACTGCTTTATATAAAAACAAAATATTGAACAATCAAAAAAAATACTATTTTCAATATATCGAGATTGGATTTGTAATTAAACGTTTGCTTCCAGAATTTTTAGAAAAGTATTTAATATATTATTGCCTTTAGATAGAATTAATATTCAGGCATTTTCTAGATGGATAAAAACATTTTTTGATCTAGAATTGAGAATATTTGATGAAGATTCGTCTCTTCAACTAAGAGGGATAGAAATTCTTAATCAGTTTATCAATTTGGTATCCATTAGGAAATTGCCTTTTGACAATAAAAGAAATACATGTTGACAATACTTGCAGAACTAGAAAATGACAATATTCGAAGTTAAATGACAATATTTAGACAATATTCGAACTTAGAGTGATTATAAAAAAAAGTATAAATTTTAACTGTAGGTGCTATTTAGAAGCTTTAGAAAAGATAATCATTATGAATATATTTAGTATTGTATAATGTCCATGGTCAATCAAACGTTTCATGGTGAAAACACTGTGATAATAAGAAAAAATGTATTGCGCATACAGGGTATAGTTAAAGTGAAATTTTTGTATCGTAAATAGAGGTCATTGAGGTGGTTCTAAATATAATATATTTAATGGATCTTAACAATATTTTTAACTGAGATACAGAGTGTTTTACCTATTTCTTTCGACAATCATAAGTAACGCCTGTAACATTGGCTAACACCGGCCGATATAAGAGAAACCTGTAAGCTGGCTCACGTGCCTATCTACTTAAGAGGAATGGGTCTAGTGAGGCCTGAGTATGGTGAGTTAACCCACTCTCCTACGTTACAGATACAGCTCTTAACAAGGATAAAACATACAAAAATGTAAATCATCACCAATAGATATTGTAAAAAAATCTCAATGAAAGATGTACTGGTTCACAAGGTGTTATAAATTGTTTTTCGATTTTTTTTATAAAAATTGTTTGATCAGGAATACCATTTTACTTAATTAGCGTTTCTTAACTAATGTTGTGTCTGTTAAACATGGATCATTCAAAGTTGTAGTCGAGAAATACTTAGACCTTACA